TTGGAAATGTATCAATAAATTTCATAAATGTATAAATTTATGCATAAAAGGTTCTCTGTTTGTTTAGGAGCTTCCAAGGATGAAAATGTCCCACGGCTGAAGAACTGACCACAGTAAAAGCCGTTAAAGGAGTCTGAAAAAAACAGCCAGCTTTTTATTCAAACTTCGGGTTAACAGCTACTCGGTCCTTGCAGATAAATAATCAGCCTGGGACTCAGCAAAAGTTTATCTTGCTCGTTCCACCAGCCTCCTTTTCATGGACAGCTAACAACTTGAAAGGAAGACACACAAACACACACACACAGGCAAAGGAGAATCTGTGAGGCTGGCATACCGGCCACAGAGAATCGAAAAAGCTATTTAAACCTCTCCAGGAAACACTGCACAGCGGGCAAGGAATTAAAAAGCCACAATAGACTACCGTTTCGAAAGTAAAATGAAGCAAACAAACGAAAAAAAAAAGACACCACAAAACGGAAACTGAACAAAGAGAGGGTGTCAAGGAGAGGAACAGGCCCTGGAGACGAATCCAGCTTTCCAAAAGTTGTCACCCGGAGACCTTGCCTGGTTTACACGCTTGTGATCAAAATTTGCATACGTGGCAACTCATATTTACGACGGCCGCAGCATCCTGGAGTCACGCAATTCCCTTTTGTGACCTTCTGACAATCAAAGTCAAGATTCGCTTAAGAACCGGGCGACTAATTTAACAATAAGTCGTAAGTACGTGCCTGTGTCAAAGATCACCTTTTAGCGATGACCTGGGAAGTTTCCACCTGCTAACACAGTGGTTCTCAACCTTTTTAATGCTGCGGCCCCCAACCGGTCGTAAGTCGAGGACTACTCAACCGGTCGTAAGTCGAGGACTACTCAACTGGTGCAGCACCAATTGCAGAATGGGGCTTTTGGCGGGCTCAGCAGGGCAGAGACAGCCTGGACAATTCCTATTGGCTTTGGAAAGCCAATAGAATTAGACTCTATTCAAGAGAGTCTATTCCATTGGCTTTCAAAAGCCAATAGAATAAAAGGGAGTAGCACAGCTAAGGAAAAGGGGGAAAAAAATGGCGGACTGCGTTGTTTGGCGACCCCCGTGAAATAGTCGTTCGACCCCAAATGGGGTCCCGACCCACAGGTGGAGAACCACTGTGCTAACAAAAGCAGGCCTGGGTTTTAAAAGAAAAAAGTTTAAATATTCCCGCTCACAAAGATTCAGCCACGTCTTTAATCAAACCGTTGCTGATATGCAGCCGTGCCTAACCATGTTCTATTTCCACAGGGATGTAAGAGTAAGATCCTAGCAACATCTGCCAAAAATGTCAGAATATTAAAAAATGTTTAGATCAGAGCTGGCCCAACACACACACAAAGGCTTAAACGCCAACATTATTTTACTTGGTGTCTGTGGAAGTCTCTGTTGTTTCTCTGTGTCACATATGTGTGTTTGTGGGGTATTGTTTTGAGAGCTGAATGCAACGAAATTTCATTTTCATATATGCTGATTAGTGCACATTTAAAGTGACAATAAAGTTTTTATTCTATTCTTTTCTTCCATATCAGGATTTCAGTAGAACAATTTCACCTCCCTGAGTGGACCTGTCGCCATAACTTCTTGGAGACCCCCTCAAATCTAAGCATCAGCCCCTTGGCATCCTGCAGGGGCTGAGAACTACAACACCCACCATTCCTTGCAGCTGGTGGGCGTGAACCTTCCAAGCATAAGAGGCAAAAAAACCCAGGTTGCCTAGAGAGCATGCGGTCGACTTAGGAAAAATGTGCCACCTTTAAGGAGATTTTCCCGGCTGGAAAAATCGGCACGGAGGTTAAGCAGTAACAACACCGAGGACACGGTGGCTGGGCAAGGCTCATGGGAGTTGTGATCCCAGATTGCATCTGACAAGCTAGCAGCCCGGGGGCAATTGTGCTAAATAATTATGCTTAGGTTGTAAAAAAAGAAGGAAGACCGTCCATGCACCTGCTTCCAGGATATTGCCAGCCGCAATAAAAATATTGCTATCCTGCTAAAAAATGTCCCTTTGGGGTTTTTTTCCCCAAATGTGGATGTTTTATACTCAGGTAACTTAAGGATTCTTTTTCCCTTTAAAGGTCTTTTTTTCCCCTGCCCTTCAATGAAAAGCTTGCAAAAATAATTGTAATTATCAGACCGGCCCCACCCCAAGGCTCCCCCCCTTTAAAAGGAGTAACAGGTATGGACTACAGAGCCTATCTCTGCAGAACGTGGGAGTCATAGGTCAAGGCATCCCTTGGCTGCATGAGAGAGGATTCCTGCCCCAGCTGGCTGTGGATGATGGGAGTTGTGGCCCACTCTTAAAACTCCAACTGGGGTGGACTCAAGTCCAATAAATGGATTAAAATGGGTTTTAAAATGGGGGGAGACTCTGACTGGGGAGGGGGAATTGCCAGATTGGGGGTCTAGGAAGAGCAGAGACCCCCCCCAAGGATGGATAGGAGGACTATGGATGATGGGAGGGGCACACCGCCTAAAGGTGGGGCGGATGGGCGCTGTAGTCCCGTCCCTCTTCTCAGCCAAGACTGATGGGGATGCCCTGGATGATGGGAGGGACACTCACCCCGTGAAGGCAGGGAGGATGGACACTGTAGTTCTGTCCCTCTGGTGGACCAAGATTGATGGAGAGGCTATGCACGAAGGAGGGGACACACACCGTGAAAGCAGGGAAGTTGGGTTCTGTAGTCCTATCCTAGAGCAGGATGGATGGGCGGGCTATGGATAATGGGAGAGGCACACCCTCTGAAGGTGGGGAAGATGGGCACTGTAATCCTGGATGAAGACTGATGGGAGGCCGTGCATGATGGGAGGGGCACACCCTCTGAAGGAAGGGAGGATGGGCGTTGTAGTCCTACCCCTCTTCTCAGCCAGGAGTGACGGGGAGGCCGTGCATGATCGGAGGGGCATTTCCGCTGCCCCGCGGAGGCGGGGAAGATGGGCGCCGTGGTCCTCCCTCCCTCCCTCCCTGCTCCTCCCGGCCGGGGGCTCTCGGGGGGCGCCGGCTACTCACACCTCCAGGATGCGGTCCCCCTTGCGGACCCCGGCGCGCTCGGCCGCCCCTCCGCCCAGGACGGCGCTGACGTGCTGCAGCGGCGCGTAGAGCTCCCCGTGGATGCTGCGCAGCTGCCCGCCCTCGCTGACCTGCCCGCGCACGTTGAAGCCGTAGCCAGACTCGGACTTCACGATGCGCACCACGCGCGGGCCCGGCGGGGCGGAGGGCGGCGCGGGAAGGGGCGGCGGCGGGGACGGGGAGCAGGACGAGCCCCCGCCACCCCCGCCGCCGCCGCCGCCGCCCCGCAGCGGGCCCGGCAGGACGGAGCGCGGCAACCCCTCGCCCGCCTCCTCCGCCATCTTGGCGCGACCGGAACGCCGCCGCCGCCGCCGCTGCTCTGCCGCCCCCCCCCCACGCCGCTCGGCGGCGCGCGCATGTGCGACCGGGCGCTGTCACGCGACCGGCCACGCCCCCTCCTCTCTCCTCGCCGGCTTCCGTAGCTGGCCCGCCCCGCCCAGGGGCGCATGCGTGACGCCGCCGCTCGGCCGCCGCAGAGCAGGGTGCCAATGCGCAGGCGCCTCTTGGGGCGGAAGTGGTGTCCGCGCGGGTCCTTGAGCCCGCCGGATGAGCAACCAGGAAAGACAGCTATATATTTTTCATTCCCTTCCCCGACTCGGAGGGGGGGGGAGGACGGGGGGAGCCTGGGGGTCTATGGAGGACAACGGCCAGCGGTGCCGCGTTGCATAGCCCCTGACGCCCCGGCTGCAAAAGCTTTGAGGCTGGACTACCGCAAAGCCCTGCTTGCAGGGCAGCCCTTGATGGCGGCTTTGGAAGTGGCAGCCTGGGTGGGAAAGTGAGTCCCCCCCCTTCAAAAAAAAAACGTTGTGGGGTTTGCTCTTGAAGCCCCCAGCCGAGTTTTCCCTCCTATAATCCGGACGTTTATGCTAAAACATTTGTTATGTTATTTACAAGGAAGGGTGTAGGTTGATATAGCGTGTTGTACGTAGCATGTTTAAATGCGCGTTGTGCGTGTGTGTGCTTTGAGCGCGACCAACTCAATTTCATTTTTAATGTGTGCCAAGTAAAAAAAACAACAATAAAGGTTTTTTTATCTATAAGCGCAGGTTCTCTACCTTGGCAACTTTTAAGATGGGTGGACTTCAACTCCCAGGATTCCCCAAGCAGATTTTAAAAAAAAAAAAAACTAACCCCTTTTCTGCTAAGGCAGTGTTTCTCAACCTTGACAATTTTAAGGCATGTGGACTTCAACTCCCAGAATTCCACAGCCAGCTATGCTGGCTGTGGAATTCTGGGAGTTGAAGTCCACATGCCTTAAAATTGTCAAGGTTGAGAAACACTGTGCTAAGGAACATGGGTAGAATTGCTTTGAGCCAGCAGTTAGGAGCCGGGTGCCATTCCAGCACAATAAATCATCATTATAAAAAGAACAACAGAGTTGGAAGGTACATAGGGAGGTCATCTAGTCCAACCCCCTGCATCGTCTGAGCTGGTTTGCAAAGGCTCCCAACCTGACTCTGTTTCTGACTGGACCGGAGCCCAAAAACCCATCTGATCCAGCCAAAAATGGAAAACAGAATTGTAGCAATGCCAAAACAGGCTCCGGGAGCTGCAGTCAAACCTGGTTACCGAACGAACCCATTTTAAAGGTTCTGGAATACAAGGGAATCTTTTGACTCCTCCATTGGGGCCGGATTTATCCCACACAAAAGAACGAACCACATTAATGCTAAACCGGCTTAGGGTGCTGAGCAAACATGTTTCCCGGAATCATTAAGGTGGCTGACCTTTAAATGTGTTCAACAGCAGCATTTGAGGGGATTCATGTGTGTTTACCCCTTATCAAAGCTTGAACCGAGCAGCATTTTTGGAAACGGGTCTCTCTCTGAAAACAAAAACGGCAATTCTCTTTTTTTGCTACAAGCTGGGATTTGTGAGACCGTGCAAGAAAGAACAAAATGCTCCTTTAAACACCATTTTCGCATTTATTTCATAGACAGATATGTACAGACACACAAAAGGCTGCTAGATTAAATTACAGGAGTCGAGGGTCCCTAGGCAAACAGGGATCTAGCTTGGTTCCTTTTATTCTGGGGAGAGGGAGGGGGGATGCACGGGGCCTCTCCACGACGGAAGGAGAAAGTGGGAAGCGCCTCGCTCAAAAGGCAGAGAAAAAAAGCTAATTTTCAAATCAAGAGCTGCTAGTGCACCTTCCCTTCTTCTCCCTCTCTACCTCAAAATAATTTTGCACGAGAACCAAGCTATGAAATTGGAGTAGTTTGGCAGTTCAAAAGGCACTGTCCGTTTCTAAAGTAACCCGCTATCCACTCGCTCAATTTTCTTCTACAGCCCCACATTTCCTCTTCCTCCTTGACCCGATTAAAATTCCTGGCTTTTAGGGCCTGGGGAGGCCTTCCAGTCGTGCCAACACCCTCCCTTGGCACAGGAGGGAGCGAGGAACTTGGGGAGAAACGAAGCGATCAACGAGAGGCGGCAGCCCACATCCAGCAGGTCTGTGACGGGCAGAATTTCTCCCCAGGCGTAGTCGCCAATCCCTGTTCATGTTTCCAAGACTCGGATCAGGGGCAAAGGTTTTGGTCCCAGCGGCTTGGTGAACCTTTTGCTGGAGGAAAAGGAGAAATAAATGAGGGAGGGAGGGAGGGAGGCAGAAAGGAAGGAAGGAAGGAAAAGAGAAAGGGAAGGAATGCAGAGGAAGAAAATTAAAAAGGGCAGAGGAAGAAAGGAAGGAAATGGGGGGAGCAAGGAAGAATTGGAGAAGGGGAGAGAGGGAAGGAGGAAAAGGAGAAAGGGAGGGAAGAAGGGACGGGGAGGGGAGGGGGGGGAAGGAGAAATAGATAGAAAAAAAGCTGTTGTAGAAAGGGGAGGGGGTCTCTGAAGGTCTTGGTGCTCTCTGAGCTTCTTGTCCTGAAAACGTTTCCTTTGGGTTCACCTGCAGACGTTTTGTGACCCAGCTAGGCAATCACATCAGAGCAAGGAAGCATGTGGTCTGCCGGCTGGGCGTCTCTTGCCTAGACAGCCAACCCTAACCCCTCCCTCACCCTGATGGGGTTCCCTAGCTGGGTCAGGAAACGTCTACAGGAGAACCCCAACTCTCTGAGCTGGAAGAAGAGGCCCTCCACATCCCCTGGCCCCAACCAGAACCCCCCCGGCTGGTCCCCAAGGGCAGGGGAGGCTGTGGGCCACTTTCAGGCCAGCCGCCTCCGCCTCCCCCTCCCCCTGGCTCACCTGCTGACCGTCTCTGATTTGGACCGGGTGCGGGTGTGGAAGGAGCCGGGGTTGGCCTGCTTTTCGATCAGGTGCTCCATGCGGTCGTGCATTTCCAGGTTCTTCCATGCAGGGGGAAAAAAAGAGATTTTAGGGAGACATTCCTCACCCCGGGAAGCAAAGGTGGAACTGAGTTGCAACTGACTCCTCCACCCTCTTCTCCTCCTCCTCTTTCTCCTCCTTCCCTCTCTCTTTCTCCCCCTCCTCTCCTTTCTGCCTCCCTCCTTCTCTTTTTCCTTCCTCCCTCCCTCCTCATCAATGTCATGGCCTTGCAAGAGGCCTAATTTGTTGTAGAAAAGTTCCCACCTGCCATCAGATACCAAAATCTGGGCTCAATCCACCAGGAACAGGCATTCCCCTCCCCGCCCCCCCCCCACAAGCACATTTTCTGACTCACACAACTTTTCTTAAGGGAGTATATATGTGTGTGTGTGTGTGTGTGTGTGTGTGTGTGTGTGTGTGTGTGTGTATGTGTGCCTAGATTCCAGAAGTTCCCTAATACTCCACCAGGGGGCAGAGGAGCACAGCTGTCTAAAACACCCACCAGCCTGGATTTTGGGGTGGGTGGTGGGAGAAGAGGAGGATGGTCCAAAGCTATGCCTTTCCCATAGAAAAGGTTCTAGTCCTCACTGTTCCAGGCACGCAGCACCCTGGAGAGCTGCCCGTGCAAGCTTATGGACAGCCCCCCCCCCGCCACCCCCTTCCTCACCTCGGCCTCCAGGTAGGCCACCCGCTCCTTGAGCTCGTGAATGACGGTGTCCTTGGACTGGATCAGCGTCTTTGAGTTCTGCAGCTGAAGAGAAAGACCCGGATTCAGAGTTTGGACCCCAATCGGACACCCACCCACCCACGCACACCCACCCCTCGGTCCTCCCATCGCTTGCCCACCGACCTGCTCGATCATGTGCCGGACTTTGCGCTGCTGGCTCTTGAGCATGTCGTCCAGGTGGTGGATCTTCTCCCGCAGAGTGGCCACCTCCTTCTCCAGTTTGGCTGACCTACGAAGGGGGGAGAGGGGAGGGGAGGGAACGGGAGCCAAATGGTTTGCAGGGCGGAGGGTTGTGGCTGTCGGGCTCGGCCACCTGCCTGCCGAGGGAAGCAGGAGGGGCGGTGGTTCGGGGCCCACCCAGCCCCAGGCTCCGTGGCAGCCTCACCGTTCCTGCTCAGCAACCTTGTCCTGCTCCGAGCTCCGCAGGACCTCCAGGTGCAGTTCACCTTCTCGAACTTTCTGCAGGAGGATCTGGTGCTCCTGCGGGAGGAGGAGGAAGACGGGGTGAGACGAAGACCAATGCTCTCCCCTCGCCTGCCTCTCCAAATACACAAGTCCGGTTCCGGAGAGAGAGTGTGGACTCTGGTTCCACACACCCCACAAGGGGGCTTTTTGCGCCCCGAGTGAGCCAGCAAGGGGTCTTGGGAGCAAAGGATCTTGCAGCTACCAGGATGCAAGACCGTCCCTTCCTCTCCGTTGCCCTGGACTACAGCTCCCATCTCTGGAAGGGAGCAGAGGCTCCGTTCCATGAGAGGAAGGCCGGAGGAGGAGGAGGGGGAAGGAGAAGTAGGAGAAGAAAGAAAGAAAAAGAGAGAGGGAGGAAGGGAAACAAAGAAAGAAAGAAAGAAAGGAAGGAAGGAAGGAAGGAAGGAAGGAAGGAAGGAAGGAAGGAAGGAAGGAAGGAAGGAAGGAAGGAAGGAAAAGAAATTATATACCTTCTCCATGCCAGTCAGGAGCCGCTGCAATTCTTCCAATTTAAGGTCCTTCATTTCCAGCTCTGTTTCGGCCTTCCGGAGGGCAATGCCAGAGTGTTCCGCCTCCCTCCGGTAGTGCGAGATGGACGTCTGAGCGCAAGAGGAAGAAACGGATTTAGCCCTCTCTCCCCACCCAGTTAGAAACCCAGGATAATGTGGGGCTGCCCAGAGACCCAAGCAGCCTTTCCCCACCATCCCCCCACTATAAAACACAACTAGATCCTAGCATATCTCAAGCTGAGTGCAATACTGCCCATGCCTGCTCTTCTCTCCTCCTCCCTTTTTCCTCGCCTGTTGTCGATGTTAGACTCTAAGCTTTTGGGGGGGGGGGGGAATCACTCTTCCTATTTACAAACTTAATAAGCCTTTTACCTCCTTAAGCTAAAACTGTCCTTGGTTTCTTCTGGGCTGCCCAGTTTGGCAACCTCCCTCGTCTGTCCAGAGTGGAACAGCCAAACTCAAATAATTCCTCCTTCCAACAGCCTGTGAACCCCCCACCCCAGCCGAGCAATCCTCACTCCACTGGTTTTTAACAGAAAAGGCCTTTTGTGGGTTTTTTTTGTTTTTTTTTATCTGCCACTGTTAAAGAGTCTGCAAAGCTTTTATCAATTTCTCCTCTGGGGCTCAGGACACGCATTGCAGATTTCCCACTCCTGTTTTAAGAGTCACGTTGCAAGGAAGTCTGTGTGCACCCCAATATTTTTCGCCAGGCTCACCTCGTAGGCAGCGCGGTCCGACTGATGCCTCTTCTCCGCTTCCTGAAGTTTTGAAAAAAGCCTCTTGGTTGTCTCCCGCATGACGGAGATGTCCTCGGTGGGGTACGTGGGTTCATCCTAGGGGGCAGAGCAAGGGGTTTAATCCGGGCTTCTTAAATCGATCCAAGGAAGCTGTCCACAAAAAAACCACATCTCTAAAACATCATAACGCTGGTTTGGCCTCGTGCCCCCACATTCTGGGGGGCATCCCTAAAACCCTGGCTTTATTTATTCTTTATTTAGCCCATGTTAGGAACCTCACTGAGCATGGCTGGCTGGTGGACAAATGACCCCCCCAAACCACGCACAAATATTAGAATAGAAACAGGGAAAACCAAGGATTAAAGTAACCAAGATTAAGAAGCCGCTGCCCCCACCATCACCACTGGGAATCCTGGCACTAACCTGGCTTATGGATATTGTGCGATACGTTACTGTCCGAAGAGGCTGGAAGCCGTTTGACTTGTCGGGGGGAAACTGCACGTCCGAAAGAAAGGGAGAGGAAAAATGAAATGTAGTCGAGCACGGCCCCGAGGCCACCAATCCATTCTCTTGAAAAATGGGGTGCTCCCATTTTTGGCTTTGGCATGGAGCTGCGGGGAAGGACCCCACCTGTCAGACGGGCACCCCAATTCCTTTCCCCAGAAGCTGAGCTCCCAAGGTCCCATCGGGTGCGGTGTGCGTGCGACTCAGCCAAGAAACACAACGCAGAGACAGAGTCAACAAGGCTGTGCCAGGCAACCCAACATCTGGGCACGGCTGGGCGAAGGAAAGGGGGGAGTGAATCAGCCGGATAAGCAGGCTGGGTTTTGGTGCCAGGGAGACGCAAAGCATCTCCTGCCAAGCTGAGAAAAAAAAAATCTCCTTTCTAGGCGATGCTGGAGGATTTGGCAACTCAACCCATCAACCATGGATTTGGGAGGAGGGAGGGGGCAGGAATAAGGGTCTCAGTTTTTGTGCAAAAATGCAGGTGATTTTAGGGAGGGTCGCTAAAAAAAAGGAGGGGGTTTAACTGGCAAGATCTGAAGGCTTGGATGCAAGCAGAAAGCAACCCGGAACTAAGGAGAAACTTCCTGACAGTGAGGACAATTAACCAGTGGAACGGCCTGCCTCCAGACGTTGTGGGTGCTCCATCACTGGAGGTTTTCAAGAAGAGACTGGGCAGCCAGGGTACAGGGTCTCCTGCTTGAGCAGGGGGCTGGACTAGAAGACCTCCAAGGTCCCTCCCAGCCCTCTTATTGTGTTTTGTTCTGATTTTCTACTGCTGCAGCTCACTCTCTCAAGCAGGGTGCTGGGAATTCTGTTTTGTTTTTTTTATTTTGAACTGACAGGGCAGGAAAAGTTCGAAAACCTGGTCCAAGCAGCCAAGGGAGGAGGTTCAGATTTTTCCAAAACGTCAGCTTCTTTTGACAGCCGGCCTCTCCCCATTTTGGTGGCTGGGGTGCCGTGACGAAAAGCGTTAATCACCTCTGCAGGATGAGAGCTGTCGTTTGTCAACGGAGAGGGGCCGTTGCCGTTCTTCGTCCTGTCTTCAGCCCGGGCTTTCAGGTACACCTGAGTCACAACAGGAGAAACCACAACACCCATTGGAGAGAGAGAGAGAGAGAGAGAGAGAGAGAGAGAGAGAGAGAGAGAGAGAGAGAGAGAGAGAGAGAGAGAGAGAGAGAGAGAGAGAGAGAGAGAGAGAAGAAGGGGAAAGCCAGACCAGGCAAGACTGATTTTTCCTGGGCTGTGCCCCCCCCCCCCACACACAGAAACACACACCCTCAGCACCCTAAAAAGCAGGCTGCACCGGTTCTGCAAAGCAAACGGCAGCCTGGGCCACTTAGCACACAAAACCATCCTTGCAAAGAGGAGGGAGGGAGGGAGGGAGGGAGGGAGGGAGGGAGGGAGGGAGGGAGGAAGGAAGGAAGGAAGGAAGGAAGGAAGGAAGGAAGGAAGGAAGGAAGGAAGGAAGGAAGGAAGGAAGGAAGGAAGTTCGGTCTGGCATGTTCCCATCTCCTGGAAAGCCTCTTACCTTAATTATCTCCTCGTCACCCTCATTAGATTTGATGCATTCGGACGTCAAGGCGTGGCTACTCGTGGCCCGGTTGGCCACCATCGCGAAGGCTCTTCCCACCGGCTGCAGCAAGGAGACACGGAGTTAAGAGGGCAGAGCTAGACCCCCGAATCCACCCGTTCCCCACCCACCCTCCTGGTCGGAGTGAGCAAGAAACTCAAACCCACCCAGGTTTTGTTTAGACCAAGGATGCCCAACCCACCTTGGCCACTTTTAAGACTTGTGGACTTCCAACTCCCAGAATTCCCTGGTCTGAAGAATGCTGGAAGTCCACCAGCCTCAAAGTGATCACGCTTCAGACTGAGAAGCCAGGCTTTCTGGCTGTTGAAATTCCCCCCCCCCCCCCAAAAAAGAACAGACGCTGCAGAAACAAGGGCTGGCCTACCTCGCAGGGCTGGCTGGCACATACCTTTTGCTTTACTTGGTCCGGCCGATCCCCCGGAAGGTCATTCTGCAGGGTCAGTCTTAAAACTTTGACGCTGTCCTGTAAAAGGGGGACATGGAAAGAGAGGCAATTAGGGCAGTTTGGCTAATACTTATGCAAATGTGTTATTTATTTTAATTTATTGGCCATCCCATTCTGGGGGAGTCTCTAAGCAGAAAGGGAAAACATGTCCCTCTTTGGGCCTGGGATCGATGGGAGAGGAAGACAATGCAAAATTTCCCGTCGCAGAGAGCTTGACGTTTGCAAAGCGCCAGCAGTGGGAGAGACGGAGGAGAACTGAGATAAAAATGATATGGAAATAAGGCTGGGGCTGAAATTAGGCGTGGGAACCTCATTTCCCTATGCAAATAAGCTGCCTAACGTGCCAGGTGTATCTCCCACCAGATGTTCCCATCCAACATGGATGATGTGGCCGCTTCCTATGAGGCCTGGATTATGGCTAATTTGCGGGTGATCTTCAACTTACAACCGTTGGTTTAGTGACCGTTCGAAGTTACCATGGCATTGAAAAAAGTGACCATTTTTTGCACGACCTTCGCAGCATCTTCTTATGTGATCAAAATTCGGACACTAGCCCACTGACTCACATTTATGACGGCCGCAGTGTCTTTTGCTGACATCAAAGTCAACGGGGAAGCCACATTCGCTTAACAAACCGAGTTACTGACTTATCGATTGCATTGATTCACTTAACAGTGACAAGAAAGGTCGTAAAAGGGGGCAAACCTCACTTAACAAATGTCTCAGTAACAGAAATCTGAGGCACAATTTGGTCGCAGTTCAAGGACGCTTTTTGGAACAGAACTTTCCCCTCATCGGCTTTGGGATGTCGCTTCTGGCAGGGGGGTTGACCTCTGCGGTCTTGACCCTCTTGCCGGGCCACATCAATTGTCAACCACACCAGGGACTGACCCCTTGGTGATTTCCATAAAGCATTTTGACCACTGGATGAAAATAAAATACAATAAATCCCTTTGCCCGTTTAAAACTACGCTCAAGCCGGGCAGAGACGAAGGCAAGTTTTCCTTATCCTCATGGCTAATGGACTGACACCTTTCCCAAATGGCGTCACTGCCTCCGTATCTCCAGAAGCCATCAGGCAAATAAATAAAAGTTAACACGCAGGACATCGCAACCTTGCCAAATATGACAGCGGAAAAGGCACCCAGCCAAGATCTGGCAGGCACAGGTGAGTCACTCCTATCGGCTGCCTGCCACATTGGATTGCAGCCCACCGCAAAGAGAAGGTGGTGGAGGAAGAGGAGCGTGAGGGGGGGAAGCCCCCCACCCCAAGCCTTGATCTGATACAAGGACAGCAGGATCACCAACTCCTGGAAAAATAGAAAGGGATTCCTGGGAATTTGGAGGCTGATCCCTTGCAGACTTTGCCTGATTTTATAACACACACAGGGTGGATTTTCAGCCACAGGAGGACCCATGCTCCCCTGCTGGATAGCATTAGCCAGAAGGGCCCTTAAATAACAGTCGGAAACTGTGAAGAATCCTGGACATTTATAAGTCCGTGGGCCCTTTAAGAGGTGCAGACTTCAACTCCCAGAATTCCCCCAGCCAGCTCTGGGAGTTGAAGTCCACAACTCTTAAAGGGCCCACATTTGATCAACACTGGTAGAGATGCCGTTTCTGCCCAGTTAGTAACATTTCATTATTTTCATCACCTTCCAATAGAGGTGTGAAAAAATAAGAAGGTAGGTTCTTTTTTTAAAAAAAACCCCACAATTCTGTCTCAAGCATTAAAAGAAAAATAAATGTTCTTTGGTCATTAGGAAATACACCCACGGAAACTTATGCAGCCCGCAGGGTTGATTCACATAGGCTGAGCCAAGAGTAGGTCCACTGAGGGTTTCCTACGGTAACCAAAGAGATCAAAAAAGGGGAAGTCGGTCTGTGGCCTAACCACTAATGTCTGGTTTGCTCCTCCGAAGCCCGAGAAGAGCAGTGATTCTTTGGCTAAACTTGTATGGAATTCCCCACCCAGCGCGAGTCCAAAGTTTTATTAAAGTTCCCGTCTGCCCGGAAACCATTCTGGACTTTAGCCTGGAAACTAGAGGTGGGGAAAAAACACAAAACATATGTTTTGAGGATTAGAATGAGTTTGTTGTCATAGAAACGGGTTGAAACACGAGCAAACAGCTGAGGAGAGAATGGTTTTTTGATATTACTGCCCTCAAAAAAGTTGGAATTCCTTCTTTCCCTCTTTCATTGCCTTTCTTTTGTTTTCTTTTTCTTTCCCCCTCTTTCTTTCCTTTTGTCTTTCTTTCATTTCTTTTTTCTCCTTCCTTCCTTTCCTTACCTTTCTAACTTTTTCACTTTCTTGTGTTTTTATCATGGAAACCTTTTTAATACAATTCAAAGCAAACCAGGTTTGCAGCAATACAGACCATCAAAAACTGGGTTCAACCCTAACCTATAAGGCAAGCCCCGCATTCTGCCAAGCTATTTCCCAGGAAAGAGACCCCCAAAAGGACATCTAAAAAGAACGTATTTATCCTTTTGACCCGCAACCCTAAATTTATCTGATCGGTGTTTGACCATCTCGTTCCCATTTCAGCTCCACGGAGAACCAAGGAACGGTGCTTCATTAACCTGGTTAGTGAATTGAACTTTCCTTCCTTCCTTCCTTCCTTCCTTCCTTCCTTCCTTCCTTCCTTCCTTTCCAGTACAAATCTCTCCCCAGTCAATTCCCACTGGCAACATCCTGAAGATGCCAACAAGAGACACCTCCCCTGTGCCCCTAAAAGTAGAGAAGCTGTTTTGGCCATCTTCTGATAAATTGTTTTCCTCCAGAGATTCAAGCTGACATCCAGGTCTCCAATCCAACACATCTGGAAAAAACCAAGCTGACGAAGGCGGCGGCATGACTGCAAATGAGGCCTTCACCAAAAAAACACAAATAAACAAAAACCCACAAGGAGCCATTTCAGATTCACTTCACATACACACACCCTTTTCGCCGAAGTGCACACCGGGTTGCAATCTCGCTCTTCAAAAACCTGCAAGACAGCTTTGCTTTCCAACAAGGGGCAGAGCTGTCAAAACACCCCGGTTGTCTACGATTTACAACTCAAGATAGGATCAAGCGACACCAATTCCCAGGAGGCTGTTCAGAAGAGCCACCAATTCGCAGGAGGCTGTTCGGAAGAGCCGACAATACCCCCCCCCCACAAACCAGGAGTTGTTCTGGTGTGTAATGAGCTTTGTTAAGTCATTTTTCTCCCCGTCTGACCTTCCGAGAAAACCCAACTGCTCCATTTTGGCAAGACTTTGGCCAAGTGCCGAGAAAAGAAGAAAGTCCGACAGCATCCAAGAACACATTAAGTTGAGACAATTAGGCCTTTTTATTTCGTTGTGTTCCGGGAAGAATCAAAAACTACGCCTGGATCCTTTGTTAGGAGGCCTTAACGTCAAAGAGGACCTTCTAGAGAAGATTAGCAGAAGTTTCCACTCAACATAAGCCAGATCCAAGCCACCAAATCTGGCACCTCCATGGTTTGTCATTCACTGCTGTTGCGTGTGCAGAAAAATGACGATAAAGGTTATCTTAATTTGACCACATAAGCATAGAACGCAGAATAAGACTTGCAATGGACCCCACCAAACCATTCTGGACTGTTTTTGAAAGCCTCCAGTGATGGAGCATCCACAACTTCTGAAGGCAAGCTGTCCCCTCGGTTGATTGAGCAATATAAGAATGATGGATAAATAAATAAATACACTGGGAAGTCTATCTGCTGAGAAAGAAAAAAGTAAAATTAGCCAGGTCTAGGAGATATGAAAATGATTCCTTTGCTCCAAACCAGGAGCAGAAAAATTCAACTCAAATGCAACTCAAGATAGAACCATAGGGCTGGAAGAGACCTTAGGGGTCTTCTAGTCCAACCCCTTGGTTCAAGACAGGAGACCTTAGCCTAGGGGCCTTCAAATTTGGCCCTTTTATGACTTGTGGACTTCAACTCCCAGAATTCCTCAGCCAGGCACACCAAATCCAGGCTGAACATCTCTGCAAGATGGCGCGTATTTTTTTTAAAAAATAATAATCTATCCAACACTGTTGAAAGCTGTAACTCATCACCTCATTCTTTTTTAAGTTGCTCTTTCTGGTCTCCTAATTACAGCTAATAATTTTGGCCTGTAACCAGCTGAATTGTTCAGATTTTTGTCTTAAGTTTCTTTCAAAACTAAGTCTATAAAAACAGCTCAACCATATTGGACTGGGCCTCCCACAGTGACTCTATTTTCAAGCCTGGCTGTGGCGGGGGGGGGGGGGGTCAGGCACCCAGCACGAAAGAAGAGTAAACACACTCTGTGCATGTTCAGAGGTGGAGGAAAGAGGAGAAAGAAGAATGGGTAAAATGGAAGGTCAGCTAAATTTTTGTGCCAGGTTTTAAGAAAGTTGGAGGCCCCATCTTTGCTTTAAATAATATTCCAAGAATCCGGGTGGGAAAATGCAGATGGCTGGGGAGAGGAAGAGGGGGGGAAGGAAAGAAAGAGACCAGCAACACCCACTGCATTTTCAAGAGATGACACTATCAGCCCAATTTTAAGGAGGGGTGGAGTTCTGCAAACTATTTTATCCCTGGGAGAAAATTTAATCAATGGAGCCACTTTTAACAGAAAAGCCAATATTGGATTTTGGCCTCTCTGTGATTAAAAACGGTGTTACTAATTTTAACAACTGCAGTGGTTTATTGAACTGGGGCAAGGAAGGTCGTTAACGGCGAGGACTAACTGAAACTGGGATCCATCGAATTCTGCCTCACCCCGAGCTGACGGAGGCCTGGACCCCCAACCCCAAAATGTGTCATTATTTTCCCTCTGAGCTGGGCGGGGAGCCTGTGAGTTTCACCTGGTGAGGTAGCAGCCTCAGAATTAATCATCTTTGTTATTTTCAGAACTGTTTTTCTTTGTCCTTGCAAGGAAAGAGGCAACTTGACACCCTGGCTGCTAAGCCAGGCACTCCATCTAATTTCCATTTAAGGGCAGGTTTTTTAAACTGCAGATACCTGGTTAATTTGCAACCTTCCTCCTCCTTCTTCCCCCTCACTGATCTGAGAACCAGCGTTGCAAAACTCAAAACTTTGCATATTTTGAGCATCAGTCTAGTGGGTTCCTTAAAAGCTACTTCCTTTTTTCATAAAAGATGAGATAAACACAGGGATGGTTTATAAGAGTCAACGAGCAATCACTGTGTTTATCCATGGGGGGGGGAATCCATCTTTAATACAAAATGTGCTTAAGAGTGCCATCTCTTTTTTTAATCCTCTCTGAAATAATTCAGGCCCAATTAAATTATTTGATGAAGCACAGACAGATAAAAAATAATTAACAGACCTCAACGATTTGTACTGCACCAAAAGAGCTATCTTTAATTTATAGAGTTTGGCTACATCTAACATTTTGCCTGGCGTAACACCATCAAGGTCTTATTCAGGAGTTATTTTATTTGATTCCGTCTGGGGTCCCTATGAGAGGGAGATGAGGAGGGTTGCAGATATGATAAATAATATAAAAATAAATTCTCAAAAGGATCCAGGCATTTACTGTCTAGGAGACCTACCAAACTGAAAGGGATATAATTCATGAAATTCAACCACACAACTCCTCAATTTTCCAAACCATGCCAGGGACCGACACACACCCTGCTTGGAAATGCACACAAACACACAGATTCTCAGATGTTACATAAAAAGACAGCTGCAGTACATCCATGCCTGCCATGGAGACCTCGCTCCATCTTATTCCGAATTCTTTTCCCATTTTAAGACTGCAAAAGTGAGTCTACAGGGTCACGTTCCCACCCACCCCAGTGGCTTCACCACCAGATTCAGGATCCAGATGAATTTGAATCCAGAATCGATGAAACAAAGTCCACTTTTGTGCTTTTTTGTGGGTCTTTTTAACATCCTCAGCAAGGTTTCCGTCATGCAATTTCCAGGGCAGAATTTGGGGATCAAGGAACACGGGACGAAGCATATCCGCGACGCAATTTCTGGGGAAATTTGACTCAATTGACTCAATTCCAAGGAGAAAAATGCAACTTTTGTGCTGGGAAGATGGGGTGCAAGCAGAAAAATCCATCCACCATAAGTCACCGCGACCAAACAAGCTCGCTCAAGGCTCAGGGTGGTGGGAGTCCTCCTGCAAAGCATCTCCTCTCCCGGGAGGAGAAGGAACTCTGCACATGGTCAGAGGCACCCCGAGCCCCCGACACGGGCCCTTGCTTCCCCTTCCGGGGTTCTTCGCGAGGAAAAGGCACCGGATTCCCCGCCTGGATGCACCCAGGAAATGAGTCCCTTTGGCGGCTCTCCACGCTGCACTGCAGACACATAACTCAAGGAAGGTGGCAGCTGGCTAAGCTTCCTTAAATAAAATGAAATCCGACTTTTGGCCCGCTTTTGAGCCGTCATTAAACGTCGCAATACACACATTGCAATAGATGTAGCTAGATATTGCAAAAGGTCCTCTTCTTTGCTCTACTTCATTACCTGATGCACGTCACTTCCCAGGACTTTGCTTCGGCATTTTTGCGCTTTTCAAACCCAAAGCAAAGATTCTCCAGCAGAAGCTTGGCAATTACAAAAAAAAATGCAATTGCTAAAATTAAGATGCATTCGCCCCCACCCGGGCCCCGCACATGCTCGCTTACCGGCCGCTCGTCCGCCGGCTGCAGCTGCACCAACGTGCACAGACCAAACGCAGCACTCATTTCCACCGCGACGCCCCGGCGCAAGTGAGGCGGAGACAGCCACGCCCGCCGCTTATATACCGGCCACGCCCCTCCTGACGCCGCCAGCGGTCCGAGCCGCTCCAAGTCACGCCTTTTTTTTTTCCTCCCTTCCGCCTCACACCGGCGGCGGCTGGCCCCGCCCCTGCTGGAAGGTGGTTGGTCGATTTCCTGGAGGCCTCGCGCCGCGGCGGGGGGAGGAGGGAGAGAGAGAGAGAGAGAGAGAGAGAGATCGTCCTCGGGCTCCGCCCCTTCAGCTCCCCGCGCACGCATGCGCCTTGCCCTCTAGTGTTCTCATTTATTTGGGTTTTTTTTTTCTTTCTTTGACAATGTATTAAATTTTGAAGTTAGCAACGGGTGTAAATTGAGGAAGGGGAGACGGCACAAAAACAAAATAAAAAGCGATGGAAAGAAGTGGGGAAAAAAATGGCTCAGCTTCTGGGCCACAGTGCCCATCGTCCGCAGCCAGCCACAGCTGTGCATCACGGGAACTGGAGTGAGACCCCTGCGATGGGCCGTCCATCTGCTCCAGTCTCCAACCAAGAGCCCTAGTTAGGAGCAGCCCCTGCATGGAAGGGGCTGAATGGATTTGTCTGGATTTGTTTGGTTTATTTTGGAAAGAAACAAATATTTTGTAAATATTGTCACTTTTATTGGTTCAAGAAACAAGGAAGGCCGTTGGCAAGGCAGGCAATCCGTGCATGTAAAGCTACAAAAACACCCAGATGTTGAGGGTAGGGAGAGGAATGGGGAAAAAAAATAAAAACAGCATTGGCAAAACACTTGAAAAATCATAATTAAAGCCCTTCGGAAAAGCTCCTTCCTGCCTGTCCATCATCGTGTCAAAATTGTGTCAAAAAGCAGCACCGCCTCCAACGGAAACCCCCAAGGGGGGGTTATTGAGGGTGGATAGGTGTGGTGCTGCCCAGACCTCCAGGTGTTTTCTCATTTTATTGCTTTTTCCATAAAATGTCCGCCTTAACACCGTTTCCTGTCTTGTCTAGAGTAACAATAACCATAACGCACCAGCAGCATCAGCTTTTGCATGGAATGACAATAATTTCATAAAATCCTTTGCCACCCAATACTCGGTGACAATGATTACGTTGGGTCCTAGGGCTGTAAGGAAGGTCCGGGGTTCAATCCCATTCAGCTGAGTTGGACAGTCATATAAACTGAATAAACAGGAATTAAATTTATTTAAAAAGCTCCCTGGAAGCCAGCGTTTTCCAACCTTGGCTGTTTTGAAATAGGTGGACTTTGACTCCCAGGATTCCATGCGGGCTGGGGAACTCTGGGAGTTGCAGTCCATGAAGGGGAATTCTGGGAACTGAAGTCCCCCCACCTTAAAGGTGACAAGATTGGGCAGCTCTTCTTTTAACAGTCTCAACATTCAGAAGGACGACGCCAAAATATTTGTGGTTCTCCCCGGACACCGAGTGGGATGACAGATTTCCATAAAAGTCACTCCCCTCCAGACCAAGTTGAAAAGCCCAACAAAGGAGCTAGTCCTCAGAGTGGTGGGGAGCAATTCAGCCCTGTGTTTTCCTAGGCTTGTTTTTCTGCTCTCGCGAACGGCACCTGTCACAACCATCCTCCCAGGCGGGTGAAAAAGACGAGTTGCCAGCCAAATTACAGGGATCCTTCTGCCAAAATCTCTACATTGCTGAAAACAGATCCTGGTTCTGCTCCATCTCCATCTCCATCCCAACTCCACCCTCTGGTTTGGTGCCAGCCTGAACGTCGAGTTTTCCAAACATTTCGCTCCCACACACACACACACACACACACACACACACACACACACACACGTAGTGGTTTGGCTGGGTTGTGGCTTCTAAACCAAGGTTTGTGGCTCCATGGGGCACATGCCCAGCCCCTTGGCCACTGAGGCATCAAACCTAGTTTGGTGCGACGTGCCAAGCCGATCCTGGCTGTTCAGGCGTGACCCTTTTGAAGATAAAAAAAGCACGGAACAAAGGGACTTGTGACCGTTTTTCACACTTACGACTGTGGAACGTCCCCGCGGTCGCGTGATTAAAATTTGGACGCTGAGCAACTGACTCCTATTTACGACGGTTGCAGCGTCCTTGGGTCACGTGATCAAGCCAAGTCAAGCTAGATTCACTTAACAACCTTGTTACTAATTCAACAACCACAGCGATTCATTTAATCACCGTGGGCAGAAAGGTGGTGAAATGGGGGCAAAATTTACTTAACAACTGAAATTTTGGCTTCCATTCTCGTAAAGGTAGTTTTATTGGTTTGTCACACTATAAAATACAAAGAGAAATTCAGAAAAATAATAGAAAAGTGGAAGAAGGGGGGGTGGAGAGAAAAAGGCACTAATTTCCAACTCTCTTTAGCACACTAGAAGACAAACAACAAGGCAATCACAACTTTTTACTTTTACACAATGATGTACAAGCCGTTTCCATAACAATAAACCTATCCAATTAGCAAAAATAAAATCAAGATTTCCTTTTTCATCGCATGCATAAAACCAATCGCCGTCGTAAGCCGAGGACTGCTTGTAAAGCCACCAAGCTACACCACGGGCTTCCTACTAGGCGTAAATCCGGCTACTTGCTCCCCAAATGACTGCCGTTGCTTCCCCGTTCTCTCCGCTTAATTGTCCCCCTGCGAGGTACGCCGGAGGCAACAAATGTGTGTTGACCTATTTTGGCGTTGGGCTGCCTCTATCCAAAAGTGAGACAAGAGAACAGTGTGTATAGCAACAACTCGCCCGACAGGTCCAACTGGATTCGGTCCGTTTGCGTTGTCGTGTTGCGCTTGCAAACGGCTTGGCGCACATCAAGTGGAACCACGGCCTTCGGAACGGTTTTAAAAAATGGAGAAATATCGAAAAGGTCCTCATCCCTTTCTGTTGCGGAGAAGTTTCACCTGTAAACGCAGCAGAATTTGCTTTCCAAACCTGTCCAAACATTTGTTTTCTCTACAGATGTTGTGTCCTGCCTTGAGGCAGCTGAATTGTGGGTTGTTATGAACTGGGCTGTAATTTTCTGTATATACATGTTATTAGTGGAGGGGGGTTGAGTCTTTTGAGCAAAACAGAGGCACGATCAAGGAGTGCTAGACAGGGTTTCCCCCCCTTTAATTGTTGGGATTTTAGCCAAATAAGAATAACAGATCCGGAAGGGACCTTGGAGGTCCTCTAGTCCAACCCCCTGCTCAAGCAGGAGACCCTATCCTATTGCAAAAAAACAGTTGCCTAAACTTTTCTTATGTTTACCGTCATCCTTTTTCCTGGCTATTTGAAAAACTGCGTGGCAGGTCTGCCAAAATGCAAATTTATTTCACCGACGAGGAACGGATTAAATTTCAGGCAAATTATCCTGCTATGAACTTTTAAATCAGCTGCTCTCACACAGTAGCGGATGTGAATAACCAGCAGCCTCTGTTCTCCCTCCGAAAAAAAGCGTGGGTTGTGAGAATCCTAGCACAACAACATTTATTTTCCTTTCAGGACTGTTGTAAAAGAGCTGGGGAAGAGTTCGAAAACTCAAAACCTCCTTGACGGCGTGTATTTTCGTCCATCTGGCTGTCCTACCTGCCTTGGGTGTTGTTTCTCCTACCAGATGTGGAAGCAACGAAACTTTGGCAACAAGCAAGCAAGCAAGCAGAACCAAGCATCAATCAACAGGAAGGGAGAGCATGTTTTTTTTCTTTTTTGGAAAACAGCCGGGGGGGGGGAAGCAAGAAGCTCTGCAGGGTTTGGACTTTTTGGATAGACTGCGCTGTTCTGGGAGGCTCCATTTTTAGGATTAAAGGCCGATCCGGGAAAGCAAGGGAAGAGCAAAGCCCGTTTGGACACCAGCCAACAGAAAGCACAACAACAACACAAAGATAAGATGCAAAAGACGTCATTTGAACGATTCCTTTCTCTTTTTTCCCCCGTCTTGGCCCCAAAGAGGCCGGGCTGGGCCGAGAGGCTGCCAGCTGCCGACCTGGGTGCCAGAAATTGGCAGAAAGGTCTTTTCCTGCCTTCGAAGACACACCGTCTCTCTCCAGCGATGCTCTGCTTGAGACTCACCTGGACGCACCACCATTTTTTCTCCTCCCTGGAAGGACCGGCCAGGGGGGGTCCCGGCGGGTTCCTCAAGGCTGCAGCCGGCAGGGAGAACCTCCTGTGCCGGTCCCAGAGCCCCTCGGCTTCTCGCGGGGCCGCCGTGCACCACCATCTTCTCACCTGTCCTCCAAAGCTGCCCAGCCGGTCCTGCTGCCACCTCTCCATCCCCGTGCGTCCAGGTGTGCTGCTCGGCCACCTCCGCCTCCTCTTGAGGATGCCATAATTGCTACGTTCCTAAGCGGTGAGCTCATCCCCGTCGGCAGGAGCCGCACTTGCCCTCCTCCTCCAGCACCTGTTTGCCCAGCAGGGACCAGTGGCTGGAGCAGCTGGTTGGGCTCCCCAGACTGGGCAGAGATGCCTCCTCCCCCCCCCCAAGTATCTAAGGAAGCAGCACAATGACACCCAACGCAAACCTTTTTCTTCTTTGCAAGAAAGGATGGCAACTTGCCTTGCTGCAAAGCAGCCCAACGTGGGGTTGCCCTCTCAGCAGAGCAGGGAGGAGAACGCTGCAGGCAGTCCTCGACTTATAACGGTTCATTTAGTGACTGTTCGAAGTGATCACAGGCCTGAAAAAAAAACCAATCCGGACTTGGGACGTTTTTTTTCACCCTTAGGGACTGTCGCGGCATCCGGACGGTCCTGTGAACAAAATTCACAGGTTTGGCAACTGACTCGTAGTTAGGACCGTTGCGGCGTCCGTGTGTGTGTGTGTGTGTGTGTGTGTGTGATGTGATCCCCTTTTGTGAGCAAAATCAGTGGGGCAACCTGGGTTCATTTAATGATTGCTTGGCTAACGACCACTGCAACTGGACTGTTTTTTTCTGGAGGAGAATCTTTTGGACCCCGGTTGAATTGGGGGGGGGGGCTTTGGGAATGCGAGATGGGAGGAAGGGAACAGGGGAGGCTGCGGAGAGGAGGAGGAGGAAGTGGCACTGAATGATGAAAGGCCAGATTAAACGGGCGGCTTGAACCCTCCTTCGGCTGAGTTCACAGGACCGATAGATAACCGGGCTGGAGTAGGAAGGAGCCAATTTTGCTGAGTAATTAGAGGAGAGTTTTTTTTCCCTTATCACCACCTGGGCGAGGCTGGTGGAGAAGGGAAAGCCAGGAAGCAGCTGGGCCCACGGACCCCTTTGATGAAAAGGCAGGAGATTAAAAGCTTAAAATAAAAACTGGGGCTGGGCCAAGATGCTGATTTTATTTTATTTTTTAGCTAAGGTGGCTCTTCTCCAACCGCAAGGAAGAAGGAAGGAGAGCCCCCCCCCCCTTCCAAAATCTGTGCATCCAATTATTCTGGGTAGGAAAGTGGAAAGGATAAGTTTCTGTCCAGATGTCTAAAAGGGGGAGATAATTGACAGAATTTATAGGTAAGTGGTTTGATCTTCTTTCTTTCTTTCTTTCTTTCTTTCTTCTTCCTTCCTTCTCCTTCTCCTCCTCCTCTTCATCTCCCCTTCTCCATCGTCTCTCCTTTTACTCTTCCTCCTCTGGTTTTCCTTCTCCATCCTCTCTTCTTCTCCTTTTCTCCTCATTCTGTTCCTCCTTCCCCTTCATCCTCTCTCTTTTCTCCTTCATCCTCCCTTCTTCTCCTTCTTCCAAAATACGACTTTCCAAACAAGAGACAAACACGAAGACAGCACTTCCATCTTCATTGCAAGGCCTGGCAGCCAAACTGTCCTAGTTCCCAACCTTGACACAGAGGCAATCTGTGTGTCTTAACACACACACACTCTTGTGTAAGCAGGTGAAAGGAGGACAATGACCCCTTCCAGTCTCTTATCCTGCCTTGTGATTCACCTGGGCTGCCTTGGGCTTTAGGCCTTGGGGGAAATTCGAGAGGGAGAGAAACTGACAAGGACATGTCCCCAACAGGTTGAGGATGCACAAGAAAGTCATTAAATCTGTTGCAGAACTTACCTGGTGCTTCTGTTCTAAAACAAAGAACAAGGTAATCTAATCGGAGAAATGGCTAATGGGGCAACACTTGTGTGCCTACCAGCAGGGTGTGAGGACAATGGCCTTTTGTTTGTGCTCTAACCGGCAAGGATACACTGCTCCTATACACGGAGGCTCCATTTCATACAGTGGATAGATCTAGATCTAATTAGATCTTTTGGTCCCCTCTCAAAGCAGCACATTTTTATTAATTTTTATCAATTAATGTAGCAATGTTATGAATTAAGATTCATTTGAAGGGCAGAAAATAGCTTTCTATCTTTTGGGGGGGGTTGCCTCAATTTCTTTGGGTGTAACTCCAGATTCTAGGTGTAAATGTCATTTTCCTTTGGAATTCCCTTGCATCATTTTTATGCACTTTTTGCATAAAAATAAAGAACTTATTATTGGGTGATTAGGCGGGAGAGATGAATGTAACTTCAAAACAAAAAATAATTTTTTTTTTACTTGTAACTGCTGCAAAGATGGGAAGCCATTTCTATGTATCCATTTTCTTTCGCTTCAACTTTTTCCCCCCTTTTCTTGATTATAAAATATTATTTATTTTTTTAAAAAATCAACATATAAGGGTTTTGATTTGGGGGCTTTACACCCTCCCCTCTTTTCTTTATATTAGTTTGCATTTGTTTTTAATCTCCTTGTTTAAAAATTTCAACGACATACATAGGTGAAAAAGAATTCACTGCGTCCTTTTTCTGCAGGAATTTTTTTCTCCCCGTCTTTAATTCATCAAAGCCAAGAATGAAGAAGGAAGCATTTATTTTTCCTCTTTCCTGCCCAAAGGAAAAAAAAGGAAACCACCCAAACAGGTGTCAGTCTTCCTCCCCACCACCTGCGGAATGATGGTTTCAGGCTAATAAGCGGCCTAAGGAAAGAAGGGAAGGAAAAATTCTGGAATTCTCTATTGCGTAGATTAAAGCTGGCATCGTAAAGCGTCTGACACCCAGCCCAAAAGTTCACCAATATATCCGGGAAGGAATGCATTTGCGTGTGACTCACTTCTGTTTGGGTTTCACGGAAGGGAAACTGAGGCCACGGGTCTCGTGTAGCCACTGTTATGAGTCAGCAGCAGGAATGGGAAGTGGGAACCCTTGAGGGCATCAGTGGAAGGGCTTACCTCCAGAAGTTGTGGGTGCTCCAAGACTGGAGGTTTTTAAGAAGAGACTGTCCGAAAAGGTACAGGGTCTCCTGCTTGAGCAGGGGGGTGGACTAGATGACCTCCAAGGTCCCTTCCAACTCCATTATTCTGTTATCTTGCCTCAAATCCACCCCATTGAAAACAAGGCATCCCTTCTTTCTCTCTCTCACCCGCACCCAGCACAAGAACTCGGCCCATTCTCAGAGGCACAAGCTGGCTTGGGAGGTTAGTTTAAGGTCAAAGATGGCTTGATGATGGTTCTGGGCGCCTTCAGCCCACAAACCATGGTTAGTAAGCCGGACTGAATCTCGAAATAAGGAAAATCAAGAGAAAACGCTTGGAAAGACCCAGCCAAATCATATAACGGTGGGATTAAAAAAAAATCTAATAAATAAAACAAATAATTCCAGAGTTTGAGACACCAAACTCAAGGCAGCAGTCAAACTGAGGATGGTTTTGTTCTGGGAATGAATGCAACTTTTTTAAAAAAATCTTTTCTGAATGTAAAACATCTCAAAACACACCTGTGTTTTATAGACTTGGGTGCACAACTCAATAGCTGTTTTCTGCAAAGGCGAATTTTTACATCAGCAACTTTGCTCTGAGAACAACTCGCAGATAAAAGGATGGCCGGGAAATTGGGTGGGAAAATGGGAATTTAACACTTTTTTTGTGGTCGCCACGAGGCTCAACCAGAAACCGCAAAGGAAGGCGGTGAATGAAAAGCCACCTGTGAGTGATAAAAACAGAGCGGCAGATAAAAATATTTGTGGCGAGGATAAAGCGGATTTGCCAGAGATAGCTGCAGGGTGGGGACTGAGATAAAATCTGGGTATTACAAAGAGAAAGAAAGTTTTAGAGGCAGAAAACGTTCTCTGGAATCAAATAATGTTGTACAAAATTAGGATTGTATAAATGTGGGAAAGGAAGGACGCCAAATGTGGAAGACATAGAGGCCTCTTGGCCAGGTAAAAAAATTTGCAATTAACCCCAAAGAAAAGAAAGATTCCTCAAAGGAATTTAGTAAGCACAAGGGGGAAAAAAAATCTCAACTTCTCTTATGATGGGAAATACTTTTCCAGCTTTTAATCCAGCAAGGACACGAATCCGAGCCCAAGAATAAGGAGCAGTGGCTGAGCAATTTGATAAATATAGCTCTTTTATTTGAAAAAAAATCAACATACAAGGGTTTTTGATTTTCGTTCGAGACCAGAAAATAATATATATATATATATAAAATAAAGCTCCAGGAAATCAAAAATGGCCCATTCTTAAAATTCAGCCCAGATTGCATTAGCAGCGAATTTAAAATTGTACAGCTCACAGTCTCGGCTCAAAACTTCAAGGGTTTTTTTTTTCCCCTCTCCGCCAACTATTGGTGTCGTTGCCATAAAAAGAATACAAGTAGGAAATTAAAAAATGGAAAGCTTTGGAGATGGGCTTGTGGATAAAGTTGGTTTCGTTGGGAAAATCTCCAGAGGCCCATCGTTCCTTGATGAAGCCCCCAATATTTCCTACTGATTTGGATTCCAGATTTAATCCAATTAATTGCTGTTTGCCGAATCGGAATTGCCAGCAATGGCTTAAAGCAAGCGTGTCCAACTAGGAATCAGAATGGTGAGGGCTAATACGGGGTCCATCTCCCCCCAGGATTCAGCTCAACTATTCAGAGCTCAAAAAAGTTGACTTTTTTTCCCCTCCAAGGTCATCTCTGAATAAGGTCCAGTTTACCTCCAGTGTCAAAGTCGAGTTGCCGGCCTCACAACGTATCAACCTGCAAATGGAACAGGCGGCATTTGGGCTCTCCATCCTTCTGCTTTTGGTCTCATGGGTCTTTTAAATCCCGTTTATGCTTCGAGACTTGACTTCTTTGGGAACACAACCAAGCTGCAATTTAGCCAGCGACGAGATACAGATCTGTCCTGTGCCAACCGTGTTGTGTTTCCGAGTACGTTCTCGGCCAACCAGCCGGGAAACACACACACACACACAAAGTGTCCTTCTGCTCTGACAATAAGGCACTTGGTGTCAGGCGTGGCCTGGAGAGGTGATTTTTGTAGACCCGGAGGTGGGCTCCCGGAGAGAAAATGGAGGAAGCAGCCCTTGGGAAAAACATAAATTTGGTAACGCTGCAGGAGTTTGCAAAGCAGCCACATTCTTCTCCGCCAGCTCACTGGCAGGTTGAAAACTAGCCTCACCAGACAGGAATCCAGATCACGCAGCGATGCCAAGGAGCTGTCGACATGCCAAGGTAGATGGCTTGCCTCTTTGCCATGAAAACACAATTCAGGATTGGAAAAACACCGGAGGGAAAACTTCACTGCTGCAACCGGGACATTCTCCAACGGGAGAGACGGAGAAAAGCTTTAAAAATAGCCAATTTAGCACCCAAACTGCAATCCCGCCTCCGAAAGAGAAGCTGTGTGGTGCTCCAGTTAAAGGAGAGAATTGTAAAAATGGGATTTCCCCCCCCCCCCCGTTTTGCCCTTCTCAGATAGGTTGCCGAACCCAGCAGCTTTTGCAGCAGAATTGGAGTTTGACTCTGCTGCAGTGTTGTTTTATTTTCACAACTTACTTCTAACTGGGAAGATACAACCACCTTCCCACCTGTCCTCAGGAGGGGGTCTTCTGCAACCAGGTGCCCTCCGGATGTCGGTTCCGAGTCCCATCGGCCTGTGGGCTTGGAGGAATGGACGATGGGACTTGTTGTTCCCAAATGTCAGATTGCGGAAAGCCTCTGACGGGCCCTTTTGTGCAGGGGCACCAAAGAGGGCAATTTCATGAAGATGATTTGAATCTTTTCAAGCCAGAAAACAAGAGGTGTTGTCTGTACAACACACCCCAAGTCATAAAGACACACAAGCTGCAGATTAAATTGGGGGGGGGTTTGCATAAATTTGATTTTTGTCACCAATCTGAGTGTAAGATAGACGGAAGCACAACTGGTTCTTGCTTTTTTGCTACTCTCTACAATCCTTGATCTAATCCTGGCTGGTTTAACAGTAAGAAAACACCAGGAATTGGCCAGAGAAGGATTATTCGCCCTCCTGGGTGTGTGTGTGTGTGTGTGTGTGTGTGTGTGTGTGTGTCAAAATTGCTCACCGCTTCTTAGTAGGGTGGTCTACGTGGCCTCTAGCTGTCCACTGAAAATTATCTTTTTTTTTCCTGGGGAAGAAGGTTGCAAAGGCACTCCTTTGAATGAGGGCAAGAGAAAAACAGATAGGAAAAAGTCAGGAGAGGGGCAGCTGTCTTCCAGATCCCGTGGAACTGCCTGCCACCAGATTCTCCAGCCAGCGATCTGAAGGAGATTTAGGATTCAGACACATCTGGAAGGCCACCTCTGGTTGAGACTTCTGGGGGAGGAACACAAGCCGAGCCGGTGCAGGAAAAAGACAGTTGGGGGAAACTGCAAATACTTCTTCCAGAGGGACTTGAACAATTCCATGCAATGCCATTTTCACCGTTCTGGATTGTTCTGCAATATTAGCGCACGCCCATCTCCGTCTCCATGCAACCCGATGCACGTACATTTATAAGCCCTATATACAAAACATATATATATATATGTATATATTTAAAAGGAGGCTCTGTTATTTAATCACTCAATGCCCTGAGAACCAGATTTTTTTAAAAAAACGTAAATAATACTCAGTTTTTCGTTTAGAGACTTGCAGCTCTGTTTTTCCTTCTCGTCGCAACTGAAAATAAAAAATCTTCCCTCTGTTCTGTTTTTTAAAATCAAGGGGTTGGTTGCTTTGGAGCCCCCACTTGGGAGAAACCTTCCCCCTCGGGGCAGGGATCCCACCCCACCGTGGGTTTTGCAAAGTTCCTGGGGTATCCTTAGAGAGCATCCAAACCAACCCCAGAGAGGGCCTTAACAGGAGCTGGTCTGGAGGTTCCCTTCTGTCAGCAGCGACGCGATGGAGGACGGGCCGTAAGCGCTGTCCAAATCTTCGTCCGAACTCAGCTGGTCATCCCGAAGAGAGGACTCGGCTGTCGAGCGTGCCGCCTTGCGCCTGGAGGCAAAATACAAAGGGGGGGCTGGTCAAGCGGGGGAACCAGGACGATGGACACCCTCCCGGGCACGAAAGGGAGGGAGATATTTTTCAGGGATCGGATGGAAGGAAACGTCCAATGTTATCGGCTTCCAAATATAATTGTGGTCAGGTAGTCTAGGATACCCTGCCCCTGTGCGTGGAGGTTCTGTCTGCAACCCCAAGAGATTTCCATTTTAACCCAGGAGTGGTGAAGCCCAGGGGCGGCCTTTTGGGGGTGGTGCTTCAAATTGAGGTTGCTAAAGAACCTACTACAGCTTTCAGCCTGTGGGAAAACAGGTGATCCGTCCCTTCTGGATGGATGGATGGATGGATGGACAGATGGAAGAGGGGACAGAGGGATAAACAGGCAGGCAGGTAGGAAAGTGGATGGACAGACGGATCTATGATGGACAGCCAAGCAGGAAGATGGATGGATGGATGGATGGATATAGCTAGATGGGTGGTGGGTGGAAAGACAGATCGACCAATGATGGATAGCCAAGTAGATTGGTGGATGAATGGATGGATGACAGACACGTAAGTAGGTAGATGGATGTATGGACAGATAGATGGACAGACAGGTGGGTGGATGGATGGACAGGCACCCAAGAAAGGCAGAGCCCCAGTGGCCCACTCTGCTCACCAGAGGTCCTTCTCCAGGGCTTTGACGCGGCTCTGGAGCTGCTCGCTGTTCTCGTGCTGCTCCTCCAGCTCCCTTAGGGCCTTCTTGCGTGCCGCCTCCAGCCGCTCGATCTCCTCCTCTGCCTCATCCACCTGCCGTTTCAGCGCCTTGACCCGTAAACTCAGCTTGGCAAGGGAGGGGAAGAAAGCGCCCAGGGTGAGAGTCAGCCCCCAAAGCGGAGAGGTGGGTTGGAGACTCCTTACCTCCCTCGCCCATGGTTGCTGAAACTACAATTCCCAGCATGCTCTTGGGCTGAGGTGTTTAGGTGGGACATGTCAGATGGCCTGTGGTGGGAATTATGGGCCTCCAGCAAGCTGTGATTGTCTATCATGCTAAGAAATCCTTAGGGTTGAACGAGCCATCCCGCTTGGTGGACACCACACCTTAAGCCAACACCAGAGATGACTTGACCCAAAGCGACACTCAACCATCCTACCTTCTTCAGATCTTGAGCAGATGGCCAGTTGCTTGATCCCCATCTCAGGGACCTTTCAGCCGCTGGGGATCGAATCCTTTCCGAGCCTCATTTGTGAGTTTGGACACGGCTCTCCCAGGAGGAGAAGAGCAGTGGAGCCACCCCCTGCCAGGTCCTCACCTGGTCCTTCTGGTCGTTGACCTGCTGCCTCTCCTCGTCAATCTGGATGCTCAGCTCCTTCACCTTCCTCTCCAGCTTCCGATTGGAGGAGAGCAGGACAGTCTTCTCCCTGTAGGAACAGCGGCCACGTCATTCCCTTCCAGCCACCAGAAAAATGGCCCCAAGGAGGACAAGCCATGTTTCAGGCTGGATGTGGTCCCAGGAAGCTTTCCAGGACCAACCGCACAGATTTATCACGTGTGAACCGGAGCAGGCAATGATTACAGAGAGGCGAGAAGCCACATCCTCGGGCTTCGTGACGAAGTGGCTACTTTAGGGAATTAAATCCTGTCCAGTTGTGAGGACGTCTTTTCTCCTGGACTTGGCCTCGGGCGATCCCCAAAGAAATATTTTTCAGCGGTTCCAAACTACCTCTCTTCCGCCAGGAGCTTCTCCTGGAGGTCCTGGATCCGCGACTCCAGCTGGGAGACGTTGACGCTGGGTTTCTGCAGAACTTCGTTGCTGGTCAGCCGGCTTTTGAGGTCCTTGTTCTGGCCAAGAGGAGCAGGAAACACTTTCAGACTTACAAGCTTCTGTTAATGTCGCCTTACAATAAAACAGAATTAACTTTATCTGGTTGTTGTTTTTTTCTGTCTAGTCTACCTGGGAAGGTGACGGCTCAAACCCAGAAGAAGAAGAAAAATGTTGGAAGGCACCTTGGAGGTCATCTAGTCCAACCCCCTGCTCAGGCAGGAAACCCTGTACCATTTCAGACAAACACTACGAGACTTATTTTTCCTTTCTCTACGGAAACAGAATTTTTTTTGCAAGATGGCCCCAACCTGAAGGCAGAGGCGCCTCCTTAAAACACCAAGAAAGTGGGGTTGATTCTTTCTCCTGAAACCTTTTTTTTTTCCCTCCTCCTAAACCACACGGATCTCCCATCCCTCTGTGAAGGAAATGGGCCGCTAAAAAAAGAAAAGTGTGATAAATAAATCAAATGTTATTTTGCTCGGCGCAGCCGGGCTCACTGGCTCGAGTTATTCAAAGTCGTTCCACCGAGCGGAGCCTGCTGGCCAATCAAGATGTGCTCAGAGGCTGCAAAATGCAGAGATGGCCACGTCAGAGGTGTGAAACGCGATGGGAAAAGTTTGGCTGAGTCAGGACGTCGTGATTACAAACAGCAAGCCTAAAATCAAATCGTAAGACTGTGGAATTCCTCTCTGCCTGGTAAAAAAAGAGGGGGGGATCTCTCCTATTCATCTCCTGAGTTATATAACAGCCATTATTTTCTTTTTGCAGTGAACCAGGGCCAGAGGGAACAAAGGGGGAACAAAAAATGGCTTTTTTCCCTTTTAAAAGGGTTGCGTTGAGCCTCTCAAGGGCTGTAAACATCCTCCTGCCGTGTTCAGACTTGCTGGGGTTGATCTACCGCATGGAGAGGGTGGCAAGAAAAAGAGTTTTTTGCATCAGCAATGATGAGAATGTTATTGCTGTAGCGCAGGAATAAAAGCCAGCCCCTCTGAATTCCTGGTGGTTTTTTTTTTTCTTCACAAAAAAGCAGATAAAGAGACGAGCTCCTGAGCAAAAAAATAAAATAAAATTGCAACCTTTGCACTGAAAGATTGCGAAGGAGGCCGAATCTGGGCCTGTGGAGAAGCTAAACTTACCTGTCTTTCCAAAGCAACTTTATCGCACTCCAGATCTTGGCGGGCGGACCGCTCCTGCAGCAACTCAGCTCGTAGTTGGTCGATCTCCGAGGGAGGGAGAGAGGAAAGAAAGGAGGGGGAGGGCATAAACTTAATCTGGCCACTGGGTGCCCATCCTGGTTGACCAGATGCCCCCTGAAAACCATGATCTCCCAGCCATTTTCTGCTCAGAGGTAGACTGCTCCTGCACACTGAGGCTCCGTTCAAGTTAAGACAACGATAAGGGTCAAAGGCCGGTCCTGAAAGAGCTGTCTTTCAGGGAGCAGTCCAAGAAATTGAGGAAGCCTCCTCCGGGACAGCAGGGTGCCAACTGAAAACGCGTGGTGATATACTGCGCCTGGATGGGGAGGCTCCGCTGGGACCCAGAAGGTATTTCTAGCCCTGTTTTCTTGCGCCAATCTTGCACAAAACCATCCGGCTTTCTTTTAGCCCCTGTTAACGCAACAACTGGGCCCCTTGGTAGCCAAAAACCTGAGCTGGACACCAGGAAGTCCCCAGTTCGAATCCCACTTATGTTACAAATGCATTGGATCTTAAGCCCAGCCAAACCCTCCCTCCCTTTGCAAGACAATATTTACTCTAAAAACTGTCTAGACGCTGGCAAATCTTAGTAATTACATATTATGCTTGGGGTTTTTCTGATTTTTTTTCCCCCTCCCCAAACAGCTTGGGTGACACCGCTGTAAAACACAGGGAAATGATAGACTTGCAGAAAACTAAATATAGGCACTGACAGCATCGGGAAGGGCCGGGAGGGGATGAGAAGGGATTTAAACGCACTGACAGACACAGCCTCCATCTGCTTTGACGGGCCCTGCAGATTTTGTACAAAACAGGCTGAGTGGTAAACGCCGAGGCTCGCTGGTGTAATGCAAGCCAGATATTTTTCTTTTATTGCTTGTAAACCAGCGGCAGGCCAGGCGTTTGTCTGATTGATTCTGGGATGACGTTAAATATGAAGGTCACCTTGCAGGGAAGGCGATAAATTAACTTTCAGGTACAAATAATGTGCAGCGTGTGAGATTTTTTTGGGGGGGGGGGATCCGCCATAAAATGGCTAAAGGATTCTGTGTTTTGCGACCACCAAGGTACCCACTTTCTACTCATCAGGATTTTTGTGACTTTCCATGCCGAACGGGGCTTACCTGATCTCTGGATCGGTTGATCCTCTCGGTCAAAAGCTCCACCGAATTGTGTTCCTCATCCAGCTCTACTTCCAGGCGCTTGGCTTTATCCTGAAAACACAGGGACGGGCTTAGCAAGGGCCCTAGGACCCTCCTGGATCCACCAGGCACTTAAAAAAACAGAGGAAAAACTCTCTGCTTTATGCTGGGTTTTATCAAATGAGCCAGTCATTTTTTTTTCTGCTGTGGAACTGGCTGTCTTCCTTAACAGGGAAGAAAAATCTTTTTTCTTCTAGAAAAATGCAAAGTTTTGCAGTACGAAAAATGTCGTCCCCAGCATTTTCTTTTTTTCTGGGAAGGAATCGCACGCAAAATTAATTGGGGTTATTGCAAAAATTGGTTAGTATCTAGCGCAGAGTTTAACCAAAAGGAGGCTAGTTTGAGAGCAGACGCTGCTGCCCTCTGCTGGTGGGTGGAGGTAATGATGGCAGCAAAACAAGCTGTAAAATCGGGCATGACTTCCTTCACCTGTCTCACTCAGTGACGGATATTCTGGTCCCAACTCTGGCTGTAAGTTGAGGACTAGCTGTAGCTACGCCCAGAAGGAGAGAGCGGGATCCGCTCAGAGGCTGTACAAACCTCCAAGGCTTTGACCTGCCGGGATCGATCGTCCTGGAATCGCTGCTTGGTCTCCATCTCCTGCTCCAGGTTGCGGAGTCGCTGGGCCAGGAGCTCCTTGTCCAGGAGGGCGTTCTCTCGCTCGGCCTGGCTGTCCTGCAGGGCCTGCCTGAGACGCAGCAGCTGGGCAGGAGAAGAGGAGGCAGCGGGATGGATGGATGGATATATACAAGGATGGATAGACAGAGATAAATAGATGATAGAGATGGATGGATGGATGGATAGAGAGATAGACAGATAGACAGACAGATGGATATAGACAGGAGAAAGAGAGACAGAGATATAGATATAGACAGATAGATAAATGATGAGAGAGAGAGAGAGAGAAAGAAAGAGAGAGAGAGAGAGATGAGAGAAAGAGAGAGAGAGAGAGATGAGAGAGAGAGAGAGAGAGAGAGAGAGAGAGAGAGAGAGAAAGAAAGAGATAGAGAAAGATCTTTCCTACCTACCTCGTCTTGGGATCGCCCCAATTCATACTGCATCTTCTCCACTTCCACGTTCCGGTCCTTCGCCTGTTTGTGGGAATCGCTGATCTCCTTGCGCGACTTCTCCTTGTAGTCCTCCAGCTGGGACTGCAAGTCCGAGAGGGCCTGGTGAGACTCTTCAGCCATCTGCTTCAGCTAGAGGAGAGGACACCCAGTTTCATCACAGGACCGGTTTGGCCCCATCCTTCCATGAACTGAAAACACTTTTGGTGCCCAAGAGGGAGATGGCAGACCTGGGATGCCGAGTCCCACCTGTGTCTACAAGGTGGCATCTCAGGAAGCCTCAATCTATGGTTTTTGAGCCCGGGGGGAACCCATTTGATGTCCTCCCCAACAAGACTGACCTCCTTGGTCAGCTTCACGATGCTTCTATCCAGCAGCCTCTTCTCCTCTTCCAGATCGTTTTTGGCCCTCCTGAGTATCTCCTTCTGCTTCAGCTCCTCCTGGTAGGAGGTACTCAGGTCCTGGTGCTCCAGGGTGAGTTTATGGAGGTTACGCTGGGCCTCCTCCAGCCGGCTCTCCAGGGACCTCTTGGCCAGCAGCAGGTCTTGCTCCTGATCCACGGCGTTGTTCACGGACTCTTCCATCTGCTTGCGGTCAGCCTGGAAGCAGGAAGAGGAAAGGAAAAAGGGGAAACTGAGGCAGGACCCAAGAGACCAGCCAGGCAGGAAGCTCCTTTACTGCTCAAGGGAACTTACAGAACCTTAAAACTGGATTTGGAGGTCATCTGGGCAAGAGACCCCCTCATCAGATCTGGGCCTACAGATGGAGCACCATCTACTCAAAGTAGAAATGGGAGAAGTTGACCGCTTCTCCTTCCAGTACCTCCAACTTGAAAATCTTCTCCTTCAGCCTGGTCTCCACGTCTTGCCAGCTGTCCGCAAAATGGTAGTATTCCTTGAGTTGGGTCTCCAGCCCCAAGATCTTACGACGGAGGTCATCGTTCTCTTCCTGACTTTCCCTCAGGGTGGACTCCACCAGTTTCCGCATCTGCTCAGTGGCCTCCCTCTCACCTTCCAAGACTGCCTTAGCCTACAGGAGGAAGGGATGAAGAAGACAACCAAGTTCTCCCATCATGGTTCACCACCAAGCTGGACGCTGAACCAGTTTGGAAAAGCTAGATCGGCTTTCCAAGGTCCTCCTTACCTTAAACGCTTCCTCGCAGTCTTTCTGGAGCTGCTGCATCTTCTCTTGGAACCTCACGTTTAGTCCCTCAAGGTCCCGGCTACGGGAAGCAACCTCATCTTCAAGCTTTTCCTTCAGGTCAACAATCTCACTCTCCCGCAGGCGTAGGAGCTTGTGTTGGTCTTCCTTCTCCTCCACCATGTCCTGCAGCTCTTCCCGAGCCTCACGGAGCTCCTGGCAGGAGGAGAAAATGAGTCAAGAGCCATCCCAGAAAGTTGAAGGACCACTAGGTGTAGAGGGCCAGTCTGCTACTCCAGTACCCATCAGGCCATGGGAATGTATCTGGGATGATGGAACTTGGAGTTCTTCAACCATCCTTGGAAGTCCCAACAAAGTGACGTTTCCACACATAGTTATGAGGTCCATCTTAGTGTTTCCTCAACCTCAGCAACTATGAATTTCAACTCCCATGCAAGCTGGGGAATTCTGGGAGTTGAGGTCCACAGGTCTTGAAATGGCTGAGGTTGAACAACGCTGGTCTGGTTCTTTGTTGAGGGTCTTTGCAGCTGAGCACACCTTTCTTAGCTCATGGAGCCCCTCGGCGTCCGTCGAACGGTTCCGGATCTGGTCCATCTCTTTCCGCAGAGCTGCCAAGCGCTCACGGCTCTCCTTCAGGTCCTCCTCAAACTCCTCGCGTTCCACCTTCACCTGCATCAGCCTGGAAGAGGTGAAGGCCATCAACGCATCGCGATAAGGGAGGCAGAAACCCAACAGCAGACAAATTAAAGGCAGCGATGGGGTGTCAAAGGCAACGTCACACCCTAATTAAAACCATCTTGTGAACGAGGGCTGGAGAACCAGCCAAGATGCATGAAGCTCCTGAAGATGATTAAAGATGGTTGAAAGGGAAAGCTGCCCATGATGGGTTGGGTCTACAGAGGAGATGATGGACCAGGAAGGTGACTTAACTTACTCTTGTTTGACACTACGGAGGTCCTCCTTGTTTCGTTGGGACATCTCTTTCCAGTGAGTGGCCTCCTCCTGGCTTTCTTGGAGCTCCGTCTGGAGGGTCCTCACCAGAGAGTTGACCTTCTGTCTCTCGGCCTCCAGGCTGGCTTGATCCTACCCAGAAGAAACCCAAGAAGGGGTAGAACCCACCTCATGTTTGGAGAAGAATCACAGAGGCCTTCAACATTTCACTCCTAGACCTCCTGGGAACTAGATGGGAGACTTTTGAGTTCCCATGCTCAAAAGATCCAAGGTTAAGGAGTGACGTCCCTTTCTTTGCCTAAATCTTGGTCTAGTGGTCACCTCTCTCTTGAAGGCCAGAAGATACCATGCTCTTCCCCGCCTGAAGATCTCTGCAGGAAAAGACCTAGCATGTCAACCAGAGGTTGGGTGAGACTCCTTCATCGCGAGGTGTGGGAGTCTTCCACCTGCAGATGGGGCAGACCAGGCCACTCACCTGCGACACGTCCTCCATGTTGCGTCGCAACTGCTCCATGTCCTGCTGGTACTGCTGCCGGACCCGATCCAGCTCCTTGTCGTGGCTGGACACCTCCTCCTTCAGGGCCCCCTTCAGAGCGGTCAACTCGCGCTCCCTCTGGCGCAGCTGGTCTTCTTGCTTCTGCTTGGCCACAAAGATCTCCTCCAGATCTTCACGGGTCTCCAGCAGCTCCTGAGGAGAGACCAAGAAAGAGAAAAAAAACCTCACTTTCTGGGCCTGGCCTGGCCGGAGGCTGCGTCCACTCGGGTGTCTCCGCTGACCTTCAGCAAGGCGTCCTGATCCGGGCTGCCTGAGGGGAGATCTTGGAAACGATCCAGGGCCTTCTGCATCTCCGTCAGCTGGTCTTCAAGGTCGGTCAGCTTGGCTTCCAGCTGCTCCTTGACCGTTCGGACATCTCTCAACCTTCCAGGAAGGGAAGAAGAGCTGGCGTTGATCGAAGGCAAGAGAACTCTGGAGACAAGGACTAGCCGTGTTGAAAATATGCATCCCTCCAGAGAGATCCAGATTTTCCAGCCAGGGAGGTCAGCCCAGGGGGAAGGCCTGGAAGGGGGAGAGGGACAGCATCGGATGCCCCCAGCCCCCCCCCCACTCACTCTTTTGACGTGCTCTGGAGCTCCCGGCTCTTCTTTTCAAAAGCTTCCTGGAGCCGCTGGCATTCTTCCTCCAGTTCCCGCAGCCGGATTTCGAGGGGACGAGGAGGGAGGCCGTGCCGGGTGGTCTCCAGGGAGGATTCCACCCTCTGGGGTGCCTGCGTGGAACCACCGTGTATTTATCCTTCTTCCCCCAGCTTTTTAATTTATTCGTTTAAATTATGGTTTATTTAAATTACTTAAATGCATTTATTCAGATTATTTTATATATATCGATCTATAGACCGAGATCGAGATAGATAGAAATAGATGATGGAGATGATAGAGATGATAGATAGAAATAGATGATAGAGATAATATAGAGATAGATAGATAGATAGATAGATAGATAGATAGATAGATAGATAGATAGATAGATTAGATCAGTGGTTCTCAACCTTTTTAATGCCGCGACCCCCAACCGGTCGTAAGTCAAGGACTACTCAACTGGTGCAGCACCGTTTGCAGAATGGGACTTTTGGCGGGCTCAGCATGGCAGAGACAGCCTGGACAATTCCTATTGGCTTTTGAAAGCCAATGGAATTAGACTCTATTCAAGAGAGTCTATTCTATTGGCTTTCAAAAGCCAATAGAATAAAAGGGAGTAGCACAGCTAAGGAAAAGGGGGAAAAAATGGCGGACTGCGTTGTTTGGCGACCCCCGTAAAATGGTCGTTCGACCCCAAATGGGGTCCCGACCCACAGGTTGAGAACCACTGGTATAGATGATATAGATAGATAAAAATAGATGATAGAGATAATATAGAGAGATAGATAGATAGATAGATAGATAGATAGATAGATAGATAGATAGATAGATAGATAGATAGATAGATAGATAGACAGATAGCCAGAAATAAAGAATATTTTATCCACCTTGGTCCGGCTGTCCGGTTCTTCCACACTCGGCTTCGGTTCAATCACCTCCACACTGGACCCTCTCAGCTCCGACGAAGGAGCGGCCTTACTCCCCAGCCAGGAAAACAAAAATGTTTTAAGTCAAATTTTCTTCCATACTGAAAAGAAGGCAAACTCCCATTTCTCAGGAGTGGCCATTTCCTTAAGAGAAAACCTCGCGTCGAATGGCTAGTCCTCATGGCTTTCAAAGAGGATGCCCCTGTGCCACCAGCAAATGTGAGTCTTGCATCATGTTTATTCGGGGGGGGGGGGGAAGAGACTTACCGCAAGCCCCTGGATTTTCTCAAAGATGAGGTTGGTTTTTCGCTTTGCCGAGGCGTCGCTTTCGGTGCTCCTGAAATTGACACGCCAACAAATTCAGCAAAACTGGCTAAAGCACCCCAAGGTTTGTGCAGCCTTATTCTGAATAAACCACCATCTCCTGCTAAGTGGTAACCCTGGTTAAGGAACTGCCAACCATGTTCACAGCAGCTGTCCCATCGAACCTTACCAAGCTGGCTGCTGACGCAACACAGCCTCCAGCTTTAGGGAGAGTCTACCCAATGCCAGGGTATTGTACCAAGAAGGCAGCTGCTTTTGGGGCCGGCTGCCTGTGGGTTTCCCAGAAACTTTCTGGGAAACCGAGGTAGGGGGATAACCCTGGTGGAATCCCACAGGGCAGTTTCGAATGTCTCAAAACTTCAAAGCACGCTGAGGCCCGAGAAGAGAGGGAAAAATGTGTAAAAAACATATTTAAAAGCCGGAAAGTGGCTGATTTTGCAGGGCAAAAAACGGGGATGGGGATTAGAACTCAGCTCCAGCCTTCTCCAGCTCCCAGGGTTTACCTGTCCTTCAGGATGCTGTAGATGAGTTCCTTGGTGTATTCGCTGCTTCCTGGCTGGGCCACTTCCTGCTGATCCCTCAGAAGGTCCGGGGTGGACTTCAACTGGAAGAAGTAAACCCAACTTTGGTGAGTCAAAGGGGGTCTTGAGGGGGGAAGGGTTGTCGATGGCCCAAGAGAGTCCCCCTGGCTGGATTCTGCTCCAGGTCTCTGGTTATAGAATAACCCAAAAGGGGATCACACGGGACACGGCAACCGTCATAAGTCTGGGTCAGCGTCTGAATTTTGATCACGTGACCGCGGAGAGGCTGCAACGGTCCTCAGTTACTTTCTCCAGAGCTGTCGTAACTTTCAACAGTCACTAAATAAATTATTGCAAGCCGAGGACTCCCTGTGTTTTGGAGACCACCGTATGGGCAGGGAGGGACGGCTTCTCCCCGTGGTGACCTGGCTGGCGTCCAGCGGTTCGTAATCCACCTCCCAGAATGAAGGGATGACAAAGATGCTACTGGATTACAAGTCCCATCCTCCGAAGCACCGTGGTTTTCCCCACCGTGGCTGGACAGCACAAGACTCAGGACTGATAGGGAAACTGAGGCACTAGCAAAGATGTCCGGAAAAATTACCTGCAAATCAGACTGGGCTGGTTTTCTGGCCTGTTTCTCCGTCCCAGGTTCCTCCAGGCTCTTGTTGACCCAATCCTGGATCATCTTAGCCTTCTCTACTTTCTTCTCCTTCGTCATTTGACCAGTGGCTCCCCGACTGCCCGGGGCGTTCACCGAAACAAGCGGCTTAGTCGCTGAGGATTGCTGTGCTGCCTCTTTGAAATGTCCCAGCCGCCCGTCGCTCTCTCGTTCCCGTCCGTCAGCCGTATCGTGGTAAGTGCCTCTTCCATCGAGGCTCCGTGAGCGCTGATGGCTCTTGGGGGAGACCTGGGTCCTGCGGGAGGCTCGGCCCCTCGGTGGGGCCTTTCCATCAAATTTGTGGATCAAGGAGTCCACGGAGGACAGCGGCTTTGTGTCGATATCCCCGTTGTTGGTCCGGACCGGTTGGGTGGGCTCTGGTGAGTCCGTCGCTGAGGACGTGGGCTTGGGGACCGACCGCAAACCAGAAAAGCTGGTGGTTGTGGATTCTCTAAGGTTGGGGGCCCTGGGGGGAGAGGGATCCCGTGCAGCGGTGCCCCTTTCTGGGATCCCTGAAGGGGAGGACTGGGAAACATAACCCGAGTTATTCGTCGGAGAGTGGCTCGGCTCCGGAGGATCACTCGGGTCGGGAACGAGCAAAGAGCTGTGGGACTGAGTCCGCCGCAGGTGCTGCTGCCCCGTGGATTTTTTGTGGGGCAGTGTCCGATAGCCGCCGTGGGGAGCTGAGGAAGGGTTGCTACGGGACGTGCGAATCCCATCCAAGCTATCTGCTGGGGGCCCTCGTTGTAGGCCTAGTTCCTCATCCGAGGTGCTATACTGAGAGCCGTATCGAGGAGGTTTCGCCCCGTAGGGGTTTTCGGGAAGATCCGAGTCGGAGCTGATGGATCCCGAAAGATCCTTGGATGAAGACGCAGCCCTGGGAGAGCCTGGAAACGTCTCCCCAAAAGTCTGACTCTGAGCTGGCCTTTCATATTTGTTTCCTCCTTTGATCTGTACCCCGAAGGAGTCGCCCCCTTTCTCCCCACTGTTGAGGACCACAAAAGGTTGGCCATCGATTCCCTGGACTCGCACCGCTACGCCGTAGGAGCCCGGCTTGGCTGCCTTGGGGCGGACTTTTTGGGATTTCCTGGGCTCCTTCAGGTCATTGATGAACCTGATCTGGACTCCGTAATCTATGGGGCTGTGCTTCTCCGCTAGGGTGCCATTCATGGAATGGTCCATTCTCCACCAGTCTGAGGTCTTCAAGGATCCTGAACAAGGGAGAAGGCAAAGAGGACAGACAGAGGATGAAGCTGTTTTGATCGGCATCGCACAGCGGCGAGGGAAGTTATTAAAGACATTTGTGGGGTGGAAAAGCTGGTGATTATTTAACACACACAACATTACACACAAATGCATTTAGCCATAAATCTTGGAGAGGAACTGCTCCTTCTCCAAAACCTCACAGGGCAGAAGTGGAAAGTCTGAAATAGAAAGCATGGCTTCTGCATCCCAAACTCACGGTCTTCCCAGGTAGATCCGACAGAAACATGATAAAACTTTGGTCCAGTGGCCATGATTTTAATTATTTTAAAGATACTTTTGGCCTGGGTGACTGAGTTTTCCATGACCTATGACCAGATAAGTTAATTCCACTTTATTATAAAGCTTCATTTAACAGAATCTTGCAGAGTTGAAAGTACAAAACTCCCACTGTCTCCTATACAGTATCATTCTCTGTGTGGTTGTGGGCGCCGCTGTCTCTTATCTAACTGCGCCCTACCTCTCTTTGCTCCACCTCCCAAGACCTTCCTCACACAGCTACACCCAAACATTAGAAATAGGAAGCGAAGGAACGCAAGGAGAGGATGCAAGGCGGCTTGGAATCCACACGTCCAGCGTGGAAGGCGTGCGGAGCTTGGGAGGCTCTGGAAGTTCTGCTAATTTCTTTTACGGCCAAGAGACCAAGCCCCATCTAGTGGGAAAATTGGCTCTCCACCCCTGGCAGCGACAGCAATGCTCTCTTTTTGCTTATTTCTCTCACACTATTACCGTTAATTATACCGGCGTCCCCCTTGCGAGCTTTACGGGACGTTTCGCCTCCCTGCGTGTCCCACCAGGTGCGCCCGTTGAGTTTGAACCGGTGCTGGGCTTGCTCTTGTTCAATGTAACTCAGCAGCCATCATCATAACGGTGATGCTAAAGAGGAGGGAGGGGAGGGGGCTGGAGATCTCAGTGTGCCCAGGAGGAGGAAGAGGAGGAGGACGAGGAAGGAAATCTGAGGACAGGGACGATACAAGCCTGCAGAAAGCATCCGCACCTTGCGATGATGATCCGGAGGGAGAGAGGAAGGTTGTTTTGAAAAGAAGGCTAGGTCAGCAAAAGACGGGAGAGCGAGAGAGAGTGTGAGAGAGAGATGCTGCAATGCTGTTGCAACTGTCACACCGAGCCCCTCTCCCCACAGCCTCAGGACCCCCTGGCTTCACGCAGGAAACCCACTTTGATCCGTACACACACACACACAGCCCGGACGCCTCCAGCAATGAAAGGCTTTCTACTCACTGCGGTTGGTGCAGCAAAGGGAAGGCGTCCAGGGAAGAGTTGTGCTTCGGGGTGGGAGGGGGATGCCTCGTGAGGGACGCCTCCCCCGTCAAAGGAGGGACTTCGGCAGGCTCAGCACTTGGGGGCTAGAAGTTTGCAGGGCCAGCCCCCCCCGTCCCCCCACTCCAAAACTCCCAGTCTCGGTCCTGACTTTTTTGCAATAAAAAATCAACAATGCGATGCACCCGGTGAGGAGAACATTGGGGGGGGGAGACATTAAGGTGGGAGGGCTGAGTAGGCTTCCCCCTGCCCCTTCCGCCTCCCTCTCCGGTCTCCCCTTGGCCACAGCCAAGGCCAACCCCCTCCAATGAAACACAGAAGCTTCCACTGCAGGGTGCCCAGAGAAAAGCATAAAATGGGGATCTCCCCAGAGGAGACAGAGGTGAGAGGAGGGAGGGGGAGGGGGAGGAGGAGGCAGAGATGCCACCCCCCCACCCTGTGAGCAGATGGTCAGCTGAAGCAAAAGGGGGGGAGGAAGATATGAATGGGAAGGAAGGAAGGAAGGAAGGAAGATGTGAATGAGAAGGGAGGGAGGGAGGGAAGGAGAAAGAGAGAAAAAGAAAGGTAGCCAGGAAGGGAGGAAAAACTGACAGAGAGCCAATGAGGCAATTCTAAGAGCTTTCCAGCTTGGTTGGACCACAACTCCCATCACCCAAGGGATGGGCTCAGGATGTGGCTGGTCGGTCAGCCAAGCGCAGGGCCAGTTTTGTCCAACGTCCCTGGTCGGGGGGGGGGCAGCTACCTATGGGGGGGGAGGCAGGGGGAATAAGGGGAGGGGGGGCAGAGGCCTCCAGAGGCCATTTTTCCCTGGCTGAAGGGAGGACAATCTGTCTTTCCTCCCATCCACTGAGCCAGGACAGCTGGGAAAGCCAGATAAGGGAGAGAGAAAAAAGACTCCACTGCAGACTAGGCACCGTGCCCAGGGACTCTGCTGCCCTCTCTGGCCACCACCAACCCCATCATCCCCTGCCGGCCTGACTGGGGTCCCCAGGAAGGAGAGGAGTTCAACATGGGGGCCTCAGTTTCCCTTTGGCTTTTCTGCCTTATATACATTGACCCCTAGAAGACCAAAGCATGTGTGTTTGCAGTTGTGTGGAGCTGTGGAAGGCGCTGTAAAATGCCTGTAAGGTCAAAAGTGGCCTCCCAAATCTCTAGAGCATAAAAACCTAGGAAACCAATTCTGTCCTGGGGAGAGAAGAAAGCCCCAGGGGTCCACCCAAGCCCATAAGCCACAGCCTGTTATTATACTCCTCTACACAGCAACACAATCCGCTCATGCAAAGGAACAAATTGCCACAGCACATTTCAATCTTTTCAGGCAGGGACTTGGGGTCTGGCTTATGGGCCCCTGCCTGGGTGGGTCTTCCTCTCACCACCACCCCACAGCCCCCAGCCTCAATTAATTGTATGTCTCTAAATTATGCAGCATCTTAATAGCCAGAATTAAGCTTTTGGGGATCCCACAAGCAGACATTAGAGCTGTCCTTCAAGGAAATCACCTTCTAGCCAGAGGTACATTGCTGCTGTACATGGAGGATCTGTTCCTCCAATTAAGGTTAACAAATAACCTTAAAATAAAAAAGAACAAAGCCTCATTCCACAAAAATTGCCTAAGGGGGCTTGTGGCAAGTTATCTCGTGCATTAACGCTCACAAATCCTCAATTCCTGAACTACGGCTGAGTACATATTCAGACAACAAAGTGTGTGTGTGTGTGTGTGTGTGTGTGTGTGTGTGTGAGAGAGAGAGAGAGAGAGAGAGAGAGAGACACCTTTGTGGGGCCCTCTCAGCCTTTCGCCAGAGATTTGGCAAAATCCCTGCTGGAGGACATCAGGCCAAAACCTGCTTCCCGTTTTGAAACAAAACCTCATTTCACAATCGGTTTTTCCGAGGCTGCTGGCTGGGCTGCCCCTCCCTAAAAAAGAAATTCTGCCCACCGGCACCGTGAGAACCTTTGGGGAGACCCCTCTGGCAGGCTGGCGTCCTTGCAAAGGCCTGAAATGGTGGCCACCGTGCCAGAAGCAACTCCGACGCGATGGAGAAACTTGAAACAGACACCACACCTGAGCTGAGCTCACTGACCCAGCCGGTGCAGCAGGCAGAACGGAACTGGTGAGGTGGGACGACCTTTCGTCTCTTGCGCAACAGCCGTTGCGCCCCCGGAGTTGGCATCTCTTTCCAGAGAAATCAAGCACCTCCAAGGGCCAGAGACACCGCTGAGTCTCCCTGCCACCGGTGCGCGAAGAACGCCAAATTCCTGGTTGTTAGAATCACGACTTGGAGCCTTTCCATGAGAGCTAGAAACTTCATTTGAAAAACAAAACCAGCAGGGTTAAGAGCATCGAGGTGTGGTCCTGGTTATCAAAGACGGCTTGCGGGAGGAGATTAGTGGCTGGTAATCAACAAGGGTGGAATAATACAAAAATAACAACAGCCACGTCCCAGATTTGGGAAGGAAAGGAAAACGTATTGGAGTTGCAAGAGAAGGTTAGGGCTGGCTGGCTGGCGTGCCACTTTCCACTCTCAATCCAGGTTTCTCTCCCAAACTAGTTTGGATGCCCGATCTGAATAAAGCATCCTTATCCAGAGTTGGAAAACCTAAACCACAAATTGTTGCAACCTCATATTGCAAACCCCAAACAGTGGCTTGCGAACGGCTCTCTAGCCGGGTTCACACGCTGGGGAAACAAAACACCCCTGGCACTTAGCAGGATATGTCTGAAACCAATCCACTTTTCGATCCAAGCCAGATCCAAAAAACAACTGCACCACGAGTCACTGCTGGGGTGTTTGTGTGTTGGTGTGTGCAAGATTTTTCCAACTTGGGCTGGCGCTACGGATGGGTACAAGGTCTGATTCATCAACTCATTTCCACTTAGCCCTTCCCCAGGCAAGGCTGCTGTTAATCATCAGCTCAGCTTCTGGAATGCAAACAGCGAAACTGCCCCAGAAAGACTGGGCGGAAGAGGCCGTCACTGCCTCACAGCGCCCTGAAATAAATGAAATAATACTAAAAACGTTTCCCCGGGCTCTGCCGAGACACTCCGGCCTGGAAGCATGGAGGAAAAAACCCTTCAAATTTCCATTTTGCCCCAAAACATCCCAGAAGCGTTTCTGGGCCCTACAATAAGGAAATCGGATGAGAAGCTGTTGGAAAACACGGGTTGGGTGGTAACCAGGCTGTAATCAAGTCACTTCGGCTTAATCAAATAAGTTGGAACTTCACTTTGGAGTTTCGCAAGAGACCGTGACATCTGGAGACAGGTTTTCTTAAGAACCGCCCCCCCCCAAACATATCCAGAGGATCTGGCGGTTCTCGAGGTTTGAGGAGGCAAAGAAGCAATCCCAACGCTGTTTTTTTTCTTCAACATTTCTCTTGTGTGCGCATGGGGTTATTGTGAGGCCACAGCACAGCACTCCAATTAAAACATTTTTTCTGTGCTTTTATTGCGGTCACACGCTGTTCCAACCTGAAAACCAGGAATCAAAAGTCAACAGGAATTTTTCAGCAGTGGGCTGGATAGGTTTTAAACCGTGTTTTCCAACAGAAACTTAAAACTTTCTTAGAAGGAAAAAAAAACCCAGCCAAACAGGTCCAGGGGGGGGGATAAGAAAAGGGGGAATCAATAGAAATCAGTCTGTATACACGAGAAAGAGCCACGCAAGCAAACCCAGTTGGCTTAGCTTCATTCGCCACAATTACGCTGGCAAAACAGAATTAATTCTCAATTATTATTTTTTTATAACAGATACCATGATCAAGCCCTGTTCTAATCCTGTCCTGGCTTCATTACAGCAGATATATCAAAAGTGGTTTTTATTTTTGAAAAAGCCACTGGACTGATTTTTCAGTCTTTTTCCTCAAAAAAATCAGTCCAGTTATCTTTTCCAACAATAAAAACCACTTTTGATACCACTATGATCTGGGGGACCGACAATCTTCATAGATATTTATCCCCCATATATGTTTCTATCCACTAAGAATAAGAACGTCTCCCTATTTGTAAAACGCTCTGGTCGTAATCAATAAAATAAAAAGAAAAATAATCAATAGTAAACAAATTTAGACCGTGGCCCGTCAACACGCTGGCCCTCAAATTTTGTAGGTCATGCAAAAAATAGAACAAGCTACTCAAATAGGATCTCTACTGCTAGTAAGAACTCAGTCGAGGGGTGTCTGAATCGGGCCTTTAACCCAGAACTGGGGTTGAGCTAGACGACCTCTCTGGACCCTGAGAGTCCACAGCCCAAAGCACCAGGAATGTAGCACATACACACACACAAATCCCAGCCCAAACGTTTCCAGAAAAGTGTGGGAAGGTCTTTTCCAGGTTATCTTGCATTCCAGTTCTGGCATCTCTCACCCCACGCCCCCTTGCTGGTTGGGATCAGAGGTCACCCCAACCTCTGGAAAATCCCATTCCCCCTCCAGATTTAATCTCCAGAAATCCCACCTAGATAAATTGGGGGTCTGGGAGGGGGGAGGGAAGCCTAATTGGCACCAGGCAAGGAGCAGCACCAACTTCAAGGGCTGAACTGAAGCCAAGATTGGGACAGCAAATCATTTTTGGATTATTTGAAGAAAAAATAATAATCCCTAAAGGAAATCCACAGAGAGATTTGCAGCTGCTTGTCCCTTTCCTTAAGCAGGAAGGTAAAAGTTTTAAAACTTTTCAAATCTTTTCGGAGAGCTTGGTCGAAGAATAAATCAACATTAAGAGAGAGGATGCCGGCTTGTTTAAGCAGAGGGTTGCAAAGAGCCTTCACACCTTGAAGCAGGTGTCACCCAGAAGGAACCACAGCATCCGCACCCGTAACTGGCAGGGCCAGCCCGGTGACTGTAGCCCTCGCTGGGCCACGATCCACCCTTGCGACAACAGGTGGGCAGGCGCTGGTGTGCTGAAGAAGCCAGGGCAGCTTCAGCAGGCA